GCCGCAGGGGAGGAGGCACAGCTCGTCGAACGCAAGTTTCGCTGGTCTCGCGGCGTGATCAGAGCTTCAATGGCACACCAAAGCGCTGCGTCTCTATGCCTTCCCATGCTAGGATACCGATCAAGAATCGGCGCCGCGGCAAAGTTTTAAAGGTGTGTCGCGCGTAGATGTTTTTGCATCATATATCGGCCACGGAGTTCTGGATCGTCCAGCTGTTCCGGCGAGCTGCTATCAATAAAGGGTGAAAAACAATCTGTACGGTTGCTCTTATGCACTATTAACCATGGCTATGTTCCAAATCTACTCTAATGGATAACATGGCATCACAAAATTAGAGCAACGCTGTGGAGCAAGGAGTGTTTTCGAAGGCAAAACTACAAGACGGCGAGAATGAGAATTTTTGAAGCGCGGCCCATGTGTGCAATCTGTTGACCAATAACAAATAGGCGAGCCGCGCTCAAACATCAAGGTGAATAAAGTAGGTTGATAATGGGCCAGCACTGGTCAGTAATGAGGAGCCGTTGTGCGCGGTATTCTGTAAACTGTCTAACGACGAAAAGAAGACGTACCTTCCCCCCACCTTCCGTCACCACTGGATGCTGGATCAAGCTCGTTTCTGGATCACTAGTACCACAAAATTAAGTTACAAGTACAGTCGTCAGAGTAAAGTAAAACGCTGCTTCAGAGGCAAATACGGCTTGACGCACATTGCACTCGCAAAGCACATCCACACTGTGTCGATTCTTGATCGGTATCCAAGCGTGCAAAGGCACCGAGACGCAGCGCTTCGGGGTGCCAAGGAAGCTTTGATCATGTCGCGCGAGACCGGAGAAACTTGCAACGAGTTGTGCCTTTTTCCTGCGGCACTGCGCTTCCGTAAAAATTTCCACGTCTTTTCAACGACAGGTCTCACGGCTTACACAGGGTTTTAAAGAACTTTGGCGAATGACGACGAACGAATAGAAAACGTGTCTTCTGAACCCTGCCGCCAGCGTCCGCAACGCTCCGAAAACGTGATTTTTCGACATGCAAGACGCCGTCCGGAATTCGCTCGCGCTGCAGCGATCAAGCGGGGAAGGGTGACCACCCGTACCGCGATTCGCGGGACTGTCCAGAATTGAGGGCTCGCGTCCCGCGGCCCGCGAGAAATCCCAAAATCTTCAAAATGTCCCGCATTTCACACTGTCGTAAAATTCACTTTGCACCTCATGGTGCTGCGGAACAACGGGGCACGGGGAAGCGCGGAGGTTACTGGTAATCGTGTGAATCACAATGGTACGACATTTTCTATCCAAGCATTGCGGGAGGCGACCGTCGTTCTTACAGGAGACCCGACGCGCACGCGCCGTTGTGCCTCTCCTCTTGGTGGCAAAATATTATAAGAGAAATTTGCTCGCCAAACGTTTAAATATAAATTATTGTAATTAATTTCACATCGTTGTGTCAATGGAAAAAAATTGCTGTAAAGTTTTTTTTTTTTTTTTTTTTTTTTTTTTGTGAAGCCAGTTACACACGGCAAAAAGCCTGCAACTCACAATGGTTGAAAAAGAACATAATGTTAAAAATGTGTGTAGGACCACGTTGATAAAAGTGAGCTTCGACGGGGAACAATAACTAAAAAAAAGAATCTACTGTATCTTAACTTCTTCTGATGCACTGAGTTCTGCTGCAGTTGATTTTTCATGTTTTCAACTTCGACGCGTTTAATAACATATTTGTCATAAAAGTATATCACTGAGCGAAAATTATTTTAGCTTATTTGATGCAATACAATTTGCAGGTGTATAAACAGCACAGGATAATAAATGTGTTAACAGAACCTCAATTCGTGTTCACAAATCCCCCCCACCCCTCACCCCTGCCCCGCGTGTCCCGCATTTTGCTAGCAGGAAGTTGGTCACCCTAATTTTCGCCCTCTTGTAGACGCTTCTTTCAATATTATAACGTAACAAGAACGTTGCGCCTGGTCCAAGCACAAATAATAATTTAGGTCCATTGATAAGAAGAAATCACGAACGTTTACCTCGGACCGTCATTCAACCCATTCAACGAGTCGCCCTTCGACAGATTGCCCCTTACGACAAGTTTTCCTATTACGAATTGGCCTACTGGACGAATTGGCCGTGGACGAGTTGGCCGGATCTCACGAAAACTCTCTGAAGTAGTAAGCGCAGACGCCCCTGCGGTTTTGAATTACGCGCTAATCTGACGCCGCCGACGCAAAATGGCCGCACAACGCCGCCGCCGATGAATATGCGTCGCCGCACCGCCGACATTGGCGCCGCCGCCGCTGCCGGTTGAAACAGCGGGGCCGGGGACCCGGGGACTACTATGATAAACTGTGGCGGGGACTGCGGATCTCTGCGCCTCTGCTCCTCTCGTTATTCCGAAGCAGGCAAGCAGGTTCCTGCGAAGCTACCGCCGAATTCCTAGAGTGAACATTCATCCATTTTTTAGCTAGCGTGTCGCGTCAAGAAGCGGGACGCAAGCACGCAAACTAGCGGGAGCGGCGTGGAAAGCAGGAGTAGGACTAGGACCACGAGCGGGGGACATCCCGCAACAAGCAGAGTTCTTGAGTTGATCCAGCTGAGCTGCTGAGACACCGCACATAATCCTCAATGGCGAGCAAAGGCAGGGATGCTGCCACGCGGGAAAGGAGCTCCCGTGGCTTCAAACGAAAGGCCGAGGATGTGAGCGACGAACGGGGCGCACCGTGGACGTTGGCGTGAGTGACTTCATAACAAACCTTGTTCCCTGACAGCAACCCCTTGTTTCACTCCTGTGTCGCTGCCACCCGAGGCATTTGGTGAATGCGGGAGCACGGTGTAAGATGAGGGGTGTCTGAAGGGCGCTGCCTTGCCATTGAACAAGTGTGTCGAAGGTTCGCTCGCATTTCTGGCAGACGCCGTGAGATGCACAACATGAGTGGGGGCTCGAGGAAGGATCCTTATTTGCGCACACGCTTTCAAAGCCGCGCTATCGCGCCTGTGCGAAGGCCCCAAAACCGGCAGTGCCCCTACCAGAAAATGCGCGAAGCCCGAGCGAAAGTTCGGGCTCCTTTCTGGTCTTGTTCAGACTCCTTTCTCTGTGCTCAGAAGGCTTCCGTCATCTACCGATAATGAGCAAGCTTCTTTGCTGTCAAGCGCTGACCAAATCGCCAACGAATTGTTTTTGACACAACCGCAGGCAGCGTCGAATGCTTGCCTGAACTTAAAATGGGCGGTTGCTCGTTCATCTTTCTCATGCACTCGAGCCGTCCTCCTTACTTTCTTAAAGATTCAGTGTAAATCAGTCAATCTTCACATCATACATCATCAAACACTGACGTAGGCTGCAGGGGTCGAAGCTACAGATGTTTAAATCAAGGACACCTTGTCTCCAATTTATGAGGCTAAAAGAAGCCGGAAATTATCCACATGCGCGTGGCTTCTGTATCATGTGGCTTGCCTGTGACGTCATCGCAGCATGCTGGTGGTCATTCCTGCTTGTTCTTGCCAAAAAGAGCAAATGCGGTCGTAAGTGCAGGTGGCATAGAAAGGCATGCAGCTCATACAATAAATGCCTGTGAGGCCTGTCTAGGGGGTGAATGATAATATACAGAAAGATATAATGAAGGTCGGGGGCAGTGGTGAGTTGCAGCGAGGTATCACAAAGGATGAGTCTAAGCTGATCGTAGGTGTGTGGCAGCCTCGCTTCGAGGTTGCAGAACCTTCGGGACGGTTACCAATGGGCATGTTGGTTATTCTTTTTGGCAACGACCGCCATAGCTGTGCTGCATGTGCAAGGCACGAGCCTGCATGGCACTCAGTTCTCGCAAACAGAAGCTCCAGTTGGCCAATGCACTTGTTCTTGCGTGGGGCTGTACTTAAAGGGGCGGTGCAACGATTTTCGGACTTCGGTCAAAAATTTCTGGAAGTTGCCCCCTGACACTTCTGAAGTACAGAACAGAAAACCGATTTCGCCTGCGTGTCCTAGTTTTTGCGTAAAAAAAAGATAAAGATTGGTATTTCGGGCACCCCTCAACTCACTCCCAGTCTTCAGGGTCACACCTGGTCGCACTCCCAGTGACGTCATTCGGAGTGCCGTGTAGCTTCCCGTGTGCTATCTCGGAGGACGCTTCCCCTCCCTCTCTCTGCGTACATTAGCGGCCGCTATGCTGCAGCTTAGAGCCGAGCGAGGTCACGTAATCTTTCCGCGGTAGTTCCTTCGGCTGCCACTTGGGGCTGCAGGTGGGGGAAAAAGCTCGACTTTTGCTTTACGATTATGCAGCGGAATCGCGACATTTTTAATGAAAGAAGTGTTTTCTCTATCCTCTGGGACACGATAAACAACGTAAAAATGACGAGATGCAAATTCTTTTAATCATAAAATCGTTGCACCACCCCTTTAAATAATCGCCGTGGGGTTAGTATGTCTTTTTGTTCTACAGAGTTGCCTCGTTGAGATGTCCCTTTGCCAGAAACAGGGGACCGGAAGGTTCCGGGCGTAAAGCACATTGGCAGCTTTCTGCTCAATCTGCTGCAGAAGGCATGCATCCCTGCAGCAGGACACATATAAAACATGCATTCAAAGTCTTCTACATTTTCCGTCATCTTTGTCAAGAAGGAGAAAGGTAACACGCCGGATGGACGACAGTCAGGCAAGGCCTTGCAGTGACGTAGGCAGGGGAGTGGATTAGAAAGTCAACTCCCCCCCCCCCCCCCCCCCCTTCCCCCCCAAAAAAATATCACTTTTTTATTTTTTTAGTGAAAGACAAATATTCAATGACTACCGAGTTGTCCAGCTGGGGAGTTGGGGACGGCCATGTCCGTACCCATGAATTGTACAGTACATCGACTACTACATAAAAAAATTAACCTCCCCCCCCCCCCCAAACACACACAAAAGGAAATTCTTGGCTACGCCATTGGGGCCTTGCAAGTTCAACATTCCTTGTTTCCTACGCATGAATTCAAGTGAAAAAGTGAATGAGACTTTGATTTTGCATTTCACACCAGATTCTACATAAAAGTTTTACTTTTAGACCTGTATAGTCCATGGACTACAATCCAAGAAATATGGTAATTGGTGCTTGGCACATTAATATAGCCTTAATTGCTGCTATGCCTAAGAACCACAATCTTTCGTTCGTCGCACACTCAGCTGCTTCGGACCGCACAGATTCAGCATCTTTGCTTGAGGGGACTGGTGCTTGACCGGGACCAGACACCAAGCAGAGCTCCACGCAGGAATGTTGGGGAGCCGAGGCTGTCTCCTGGGTGGCGCCGTTTGTTTACATTATGTACAGTGCTCACCAGACTTACTCTGAACACATCAACAACCTCTTATCTTGCTGGAGTGCTATCCATGGATGATCCGTGTGGACACAGCAATTTTGTCGGCCGTCCAATCTATATGGATTGCCAGCTTCTTGCTTGAAGATGCATAGGTAACTGTCAGAACAGTCGGTGATTGGACGATTCAATCAGTAAGCATCTTATTATTCTACTGAATGGGGTGAAAAGCAGAGATCGCCTCGCACGCAAAAATTGCCTCGAGGCCTTCCCCGCACTGACTGTTCCACTGAGCACTATGTCACGGAGCAATCCGTTGACTGTTGCCAGGATAGCACTCCCGTAAGATAAGATGCTGTTTGCTTGTTACGAATAAGTTTGTTGGGCTTGTCCTTGCCAGGAAGAGCAAATTCGGTGGTGAGTGCTGTTGACTACATTGGTACAGATTTGATCTGAGGCCAGAGAAGAAGAAATAAAAATAATATTCCTCTGTCCTCTCCACCGTAAGGCACTGCAGACTTAAAGCCAATCCAAATAAAATTAATTGGATCCTGAGATGAAATCTGAATTTCACAGTAAAGCCAAATTGGGAAGGGAAAAAAAATTGGGATTGGCCAAAGGAACAACCCGGGGAAAACCAGCGAGGAAGATCCCTTCCTCCAGTGCTCGACCCCTGTCCGACCCCGCTACTAGGTCATAAGCTTGCATCACAGTGGGTCCGACGGTCACTGCGTGGCGACCATGAACCAAGCAGCCCCGCCGCCAGTGATTAGTTTTCTATCTCTTGGCTCCTACGCAGAGGCTGCCCCAGTGCGAGTGCCCCTCCCACCTTGGGAAGACTCGAGAGGACACCATTCTTTATGTCAGCCTTCCCCTTAAAGAGGCAGCCTCGTCGAACGGTGGCCCACTCCGTTCCAGAGGCTCCCCTCCACCAACAGGGAAGGCCAGGAGAACCACCCCCCTATGTGCCCCTCTCCAAAGAGGAGCCCCAGAGCCAGTGCTCCTCCCCCCAGGAGGGGGGGGGGGGGGGGTTAATCGCACTATCTTGTGTTTTAGCGCAAAACAAAGCAAGTTTTCCCAAGGGCTAGTTTTGAAAGCATTAGTAAAAAAAGTAAAGTTCAATAAACCACACATATATATATCAAGACGGGTTTGTGGGAGTATGCCGTGCTCAACGTCGCAAACTGGCTCTCTTGCACATGTTGGACGCTTCCGGCGAATCACGTGATATGCACGTTACGCGAATCACGTGGCTAACGATGAGCGTGCTGCTAGTGCAGCCTGTAGGCTTTGCTTGAAAAAATGCAAAACAAGCAGAACAAATCTTCCTGAACATGACATAGGTAGCACATGGTTGGCTCGCCGGCACGGTGGTATTGACTGTTCTGTTGGCTACACCGCGCCTTTCCCGCTAATTAGCAGATATTGGTAATTTTGCACTTCAAACTTTATTTGCCAGTTTCATTGACATTGAGGTGGAATTTGATTGAAATATTTGAAGTGCAATTTTCTAGGCACTACTAAAAAGAACTCTATTGTTTTCTTTAATATTGAAAATGAGCCGGAGTTGACCTTACACCCTTTGACGGTCAAGTTTTTCTTTTTCCTAAAAGATGTTTCCCAGTGGTTTGGTTTTCTTTCCAAAGTAATAGATAAAGAATGGGTCAGTGCACATTTTTTTTTTGTTTTTTTTTCTGAATTATCTAGCCGGAGCACACACAGTGCATGCAAGCTGTATAGATTTCAAAGTATAAAAAGAAATATTGAAGGTGAAAAGTTACTTTTTTTTTATTCGGTTTCATTTTCGTGTGTCCGTTTCTGCGACATTTCAGCGGCTTTAGGTTCCCAACGGAGGTACTTTAAATAGCATCTCCTTCAGATGACGAGCTCTCAACCCCTCAATCTAATTCCAGAAAGTCCCATTGGCACTACCGCCAGTGCGGCACGGCCAGGTATGTGAAGTTAGCATAACGTGCGCCGAGCGTCTAATTTGAAATGTATAAATAGCCCAGCAATGCGAAACCCCGCGCGAACATGACGTTCATAGTTTGCCAAAGGCGTAACGAATAGTGACACCTCCCGCGGTGCAGGCAGTTTTGTGTTTAGGCGGGCACTTTCAAGTGTGTAATCACCGCCGTACACCCCCGGCGATGACCGGCGAAGGGATAAGCTCTAGTTCTTTCTTAAATGACTCGGTTTGCAAAGTCATGTTGACAGTGTTGCACTTTCAACGATTCATTTCGCTCGTGTGTCCCGTCTTGCAGGGAACGAAGAAGGCTCCTGGGTGCCCTGAAGAAGCACGGCAGCAGCGACGCGCAGAAACTGGCCAAGGCAGTGGGCACAAAGTCGGCGTCAGCAGTCAGGTAAGCCAGTCTGGCAACATTGGTTGGGCAGACGGCTCGGGATGACGTGCGAGCACAGCGAGCATTTTCTGCCTGGTCAGGGGTGTTTTCTGCGGTGAAACCGTAAAACCGCGTCTTTAGTGCTCCCTGGTTTGGTGAAACATGTTCAGGGTTCAACATTCCCCAACTTACTTGTGCACGCAGCTTCATGTATGAGGGAGAACACAAAAGAAAGGTAAAATCATTGAATTAAGTTGCTTGTCCCAGGCTAACTAATTCACAGTAAAACCGCACACAAAAAAGATCAGGACGACGAAGAAAGTCTTCTTCGCATTTATCTCATCTAAGTTGTTCCTCATTGTCCTTATCTTTCATTTTTTACTTTTTAATCTCCATTTTGAGTAGTGAAAGAGTTCGTCCAAATCTTAACCTGAACCCATGGACAGCCAGGTCATTTTTCTGGCGGCCTGAATGTACAATACCGTACAACGCAATACAAAAACCATCTTTATCTACTTCCTTTGTAAATAATACTATATAAAGCGCGATTCAAACCAACGCTTCTTTTTGCGCCTGTAGGTCGTGCGGCTGCGGATGTGACGTATTTTCGTGACGTTGCGCCACTTCTTCGCTCCTTCCGGGCGCGCACAAAAAAGTTGGTTGATTTCAACTTCTTTCTCAATGCGCACAAAAACGCGCGGTGACGTATAGGGCGCTCCTGTGTCCCGGCCAATCGGTGGAGGGCAAGCTAGTTCCGGCTCCGCGTTTCTTCGCCGCCTTCTCAGAGCAAGTGACAAAAGCGCCCAGTGCGCATCCACAATTGGCCCTCTCCTCCCCCCACTTTTATTCTCTTCCAACATAACAACGCGATCTCTCTCTCTCTCTCGCTGCCTTCTGGCTGCGACAGACTGGCCTGGCCGGCCAGTCTGTTGCGCGCGTGCGCGCTCGCCCGAAGCTGGCCCGTCCAAACCAAAGCGCACGGTTCTGACTCAGAAAGCGCGCCCGGAAACAGCAAAAACATCAGGAAATGCGTCACATCCCCAGCCGCACGACCTACAGCCGCAAAAAGAAGCGTTGGTTTGGATCGCGCTTAAAGCCCACATAAGCCAATAATGGCCTGTGCGTGGGACACGACAGGATCCTCTGCTTTTTATTGCGCAGATAACTAAGAACAACAGAGCACACCAATATAAGTGTAAATTACTGCAGTTCCACCTCCTTTTACAGCTAATATAATTTCTTCTTACTTGAAGAGTATATATTTAAAACATGTCCAATAATATTGATTTAGTGTTTACATGCCGTAAAAGATACTAGAATTGGCGACTTACAAGGTTATACTAATAAATGGAGAGGAAAGACAACATTTTATATTACGCATTTTTGGGGATACTCCATTATCTATACCTATGCGGAGGGCAAGTTCGTCTGCTTCTTGCGCAGGGGGTAGTGGTGACGTCAGAACGCCGGGCTCTGATTGGCTGATCACGACCCCCTAGCTGAGCGTCCTCTGCTCCTTTGCAACGTCGTTTGCGTCTGTCTTACCTTTCCTGCGACTTTCGGAAGTGCAGGTCTTTGCGAGCGACCTCGACTTCGCCTTTCAGAGAGGGCAGACGAAGTAACTCAAACGGTACGTTGTTTTTGTGTAACAACTAGCAGATGCGCATCAAGGAGAAAAGTCAAAGGACCCTCTGGCGAGGTGTTCCTAGGCGCCGAGGTTTGTTTGCTAAGAACCGAGCGCCGCTATTCACCGCTTTTTCACCGGCGGCTCGAAATGGACTGTCCAAGACGGACCTTCCACAGCAGTGGCTGCAACGCCCCAAGAGCAGCGTGCCGCGGCAGGTCGCTCACTCAGGTAAGAAGTAAACACCATGTTCATCGCTATGTTAAAACGTTTAGTTTAATCAGCTAAAGACGGATGACAGCCGATATAGTGACTGTAAATAAACAAATGCGGCTGTGCGATCGGTACTGTGAGCACATCATAGCCCAAAAGTGCTCGATCGCTGCTTGTTGTCACAACTTTCTCGCTCAACTAAAAGGCTGTTGTCAGTTAGCGTATTGGGGTATGTATGTATGGCGTAAACCCAAGTGGCAAAAGTTTGAAAACCTGTGCTAATCTGTGGAAGAGAATCCGAGCAAGATCGATCGAGCTACCCGAGCGGTGTCAAACGTATCGCAGAAGTTATGTCGTAGGCTCGTTGACACCAAGTAGTAATTATTGTTATAATGCAATTAAATGCAAAGGTGCAAGCGAGCTGGACAAGAATGACAAAAATAATCCCTGGAGAAGGGGAGCAAGAGGGACAAAGGGCAAACACAAATCTTTTTCCGAAGGCGGCGTTCTCGCTGGTGAAAAAACAGTGAATCTCCGACAGACGCAGGGAAGGTAAAGCAGCCATCGCTTTAACTAGCAGACATAAAGCAGACGACGTTAACTGCGCCAACCGCGCCAACCTGCCGGTGCCGTTAAAGAGCGAGGAGTCTCGCCGCACACGAAAGGAGGGAAAAAGTATTTGGGAGGGAACTTGCGGACTCTAGCCACCCTCACTCTCGGTTCTTAGCAAACAAGCCTCGGCGCCTCGGGACACCTCGCCAGTGAGTGCTTTGACTTCTCTCCTTGATGTGCATCTGCTAGTTGTTAGACCAAAACAATGTACCGCTCGAGTTATTTCGTCGGCCCTCTCTGAAAGGCAAAGTCGAGCTCGCTCGTAAAGACCTGCACTTTCGAAAGTCGCAGGAAAGGTAAGACAGACGCAGACGACGTTGCGAAGGAGCAGACGACGCTCAGATAGGGGGTCGCGATCAGCCAATCAGGGCTCGGCATTCTGACGTTACCACTACCCCCTGCGCAAGAAGCAGACAAACTTGCCCTCCGCATTACATTTTATGGGTCCTTTTTTTTCCTGTTCGATTATCCATCTTTTTGCTAGATTTTTTTATTCTGGGAGATCTTATATTATGTAGCTCATCCGGTAACTTATTAAAAAGCTTAAGTACGTAACATTTCCTTGTGGCCTCTTCATATTTTGTCCTTATAAATGGTTCAGCAAATTTTTTATTTGGTTTTAATGCCCTTTCTTTGACATTTTCCAGCCTATGTTTGTTGTTGAAAAAATGTTTTATGATATCATACTTCATTTGATCTCTGAAGTGTAACATCCCTAGTTCTTTATGCACATAGTCGGAGAGATCAGTTTCTTTACTTTGTTAGCTAATATTCCTATCTTTTTTTAATCAATTCTAGCTTTAGTTGTAAATATTTGGCACAGTGCCCATAAACTGTTATTCCATATTGAAGTATAAATTTCCCCAGTGCATTGTATGTCATTCTAAGTATGGGTCGCGGTACTAGGTCTTGGATATGGTATGGATGTTTTTTTTTATTGGCTTTCCATGCCAGTAAGGCCCGTTTCAGACAGAGCAATCTCACCCAGCAACTTGACGTCGCAAGACCAGCAACACGGGCCGCCCGCGTTCACACGCAGCAACTGAATTGTTCCGACTTGTTATCATCATCATTAAATTTGATTTTTCTTTCACTATTTAGACGCCCAGCTACGCGCTAAAAACGCGTCCTTATATTTTTGAACGACGTTGAGAATACTAATTCATTTTTCTGAAACTGTTCATTTCCGAAAACGATCCATTTCAAACCCGAACTAAGTCTTTAGCTGTCATCATCACCACCACAGGGTTGTCACGTGAAAATATTGCGTCTCTGATTGGCTGCGGCCGCTTCAACCGTCTTCGAATTGCTCCGAGTTGCTCGCTTGTTCGAGCCGGACCCGATCTCAGCAATTCGCGTCGATCTAAGGAAAGCTAGGGAACAACCCGCCAGCAACCTCAAAATTGCTGGTAAAGTTGCCCCGTCTGAAGCGGGCCTTATGCAACGCCTAACCTCGAGCAGTCTGAACCACTAGCCCAACAACACAAGAAGTCGAGACTATAGATGGAGGAAAGGAGTTTGGTGGTGACTATTTCGATGTCCATTTTCAAAATAATTTTCAGATTATTTTGACGTCCGTGACACCACTTCCGGGAGATGTAAAAATATTTTCAAAAACGTTTTGACGTCCCTTGTCAAGATATTTCTGTCATTACTTTGACGTCTCAAAGTTCTAATCTTGCTTGCAGGCAGCGTCGCAATTCGACCGTTCAACACACGTTTCCCGAAAACAAATGTCATGCAGTCGGCTGGTGTTTTTAAGACATTTTAAGTGATATGGAATGCAACAAAAACTTCTCGAAGTACATCAGCTATCAGGCCACACTTAACGTTCGCTTGGTTGTGCCCAACATTATAGAATGTGGCACCGCTGCTTTTTATGATCTATTTTGCGTGTTTTATATAGACAGGGGAGCTGAACGCCGTGTCATAACATGTGCAGTTTATCGGAATATGTGTGTATCTTGTACAGCCGTGCCAAACCTTTGTTCGTTCGGACCGGTCAAGAAACATCAAGGGAGCATTGTTTGCACTCACATCCTTTTATTTGACATTCCGATCGTTTCGTAGTTAACCCTCTCGTTATACACAAACTGAACAGAAAATCTGAACTTAACAACGAACTCACGAAACTCAGTCAAAAACAGGGCGGAAGTCGGATGCAAAGCGAAACTGTGACCGTACGGCCATACTACAAAGACGCGCTCGTGCAATATGGACGCACGAAAAGCATGCCAAATTTCCTAATGTTACGTAGTGTATGCACTTACGTTACGTGCAGGCAAGGCAAGGGAATATCCAGCTCGCCTTTGTTGTAGATTCAAAATTTTAAGTGAGACCCATGCCAAAATGACATGCGAGCTCGGAACGCTCAGAACATCGCCGCTGGGCTTGTTACGTCCAAAAAAATTACCTGCGGAGCCATTCCTACATGCACATTGAATGAAACATTTCCAAAGCCAACTAGGACCGAAACTTCTTAGGCACGTGACACATGAATCCGTCAAAACATCAACACAACACCGACAGCATCATCAGAAACTTAACAGAAAGAAACCGCAAAATGGCTACCACCACTACCACTGCAACGGCTGCATTAAAGGGTGACGTTGAAATAATAGAGCCACTATTTTGTTGTTTTATAGAAGTGACATCACAGACGTCCAAATCATTGTTCATATATTTTGTTAGTCGACATCAAAATAGTCACTACCAAGGAATTTACCTGCAGTGTGGATGGTCACACCATGGTCAAGTTCTTTCTGTTTCTGGTGGGACAGCGTCCCACAAGCACGCTGTCCTGCCAGCATGCTTGTGGGACAGTGTCTTGTCTCGCTTCGGCTCCCCCGAAGCTTAAATAGATAAGACTTGGTTAAATGAAATGATGCTTGCGTAGAAAGGGTGCTTTCTCTGGTAAACGAGTAAGATATGCCTTAAAGCCATGCTGAAGGCTTATTTACATATGACATGTGAACAGTACTATGGACATAGTATCTACAAAAATAAATACGTACATTAATACGAAAGAAATATTCCAACCGAACGTATTACATGTACATGCCAAACAGTATGCAAACTGCAAGGAAAAGAAATGCGCACAGTGTATACAAAATAATAGGAAATGTGATTTGTCACCTAAAATTTCCACAACAGAAGACCCCCGCCCTCCCCTCCACCACCACCTCTGATACTCGTTCCGCTTTGGCTTCCGAGGAATATGCTCACGTTAGTTTTAGCGGCCTTTCCTGCGGCAGCATGTCGTTGCTACTTTTGCGACTGCTAAGAAGGTGATCTGGAACCATCAGTTGCTCATTTTCACCGTTGTTTGAGCTCAAGTTAATTGTCAATTCCAGAATGTCGGCATCCCTCAAAGAAAGTGAACTTGAATCGCATGGGCTCGTCATTTTCAAATACAACAGGTGGAAGAATTCGCCTCAGTAAAATTGTCAACAGGATGTGGTGGCACAACTAAGGAGTAGCTTTGGTATCTTTGTTTGTCGGCAGGGCTACATATAAGTTTGAGTCTAACTTGGACCGGCAGGGAGTAGATAGAAAATGCATGGCGAGTGCATTCAGGTGCAGCTGAGTGTGCACGGAAGAATGGCCAGGTTACGTATGCTCGGGTGCCGGGTTCGAAAGGAAAACTTCCTTATATTTCATCTTTACGCACATTTTAGAATGGACACATTTACAACTACATTGCTTCAGCCTGCGTACATGCAGCTCAACTGTAGCAATGTGTGCCGTCTTAAGTCATGCCATTGCGCATTACAGTTTGTCATTAACCTTGGTGGCAAACCCGTTATTCCACGTACTTGCCTTCTTGATGATTGACCTTTTACAGCGAAGCTGTTATGCGCTAGGATCGGGGAAAAAATGTGTTCCTCGAATGTTGACAGAAAACTCCCCATTGGTTGTGGCAAATATGAATAAATAAAAATAAAAAGAGGGGGCAACCAGCGTGAGTCAGCCTTCCTTGGCATTATTAGATAGTGAGGTCCTGATCCCTTGTTATCATTTCTAGGCATCGTCTTCGAGGTCGTCCTAGAAGTCGTCCTTGAGGTCGTCCGAGAGGTTGCCCTAGGCGTCGTCCTCTAGGCATTGTCCTCAAGGTCATTCTTGAGGTCGTCCTAGAAGCAGTCCTCGAGGTCATCCTAGAAGTCGTCCTCTAGGCGTCTTCCTAGAAGTTGACCTTGAGGTCGTCCTTGAGGTTGTCCTCGAGGCGTCCTCGAGTTCGTCCTAGAAGTCGTCCTTGGGGTTGTCCTTGAGGTCGTCCTAGACGTCATAAAAATAACAGCTTCGCTGGTCCTCCATCTTCATGTGAAGTGGAAGGGCTCTGCAATTTTTTTTCACAGACTGTAGCTGTTAACAACCTTTCTTAGCCTACAGGTTACGCCCTTCCCTAGTTTTGCTCTAATGGACGTGTCAAGGTGGTGACTGGTCTCGCAGTAGACACCAGCATCTGAGAGACCTTTTTTTCCTCGAAGCAACTCCTCTCCCGTAGGCTTCCATAGACGTAACTTACACTTATCATCCCATGAGTGGTCAGTGTCTGGCACATTATAGTAATGACAGGTGCCACACCTAAGAACACCGATCGATCGGTCGTCGCACGCTCGGTTGAATCGGACCGCATGGGCTCAGTTTCTCTGCTTGAGAAAAACGAGGACCCCGCGTAACCCGCTCCTTTGCCCCTTGGCAGCTACTTCATGCTACAGCAATGGAAGAACCTGGACAAGCGCCAGGTGGTGGAGAGGTCTGGGGCCGCAATGACCAACTGGCTCCGGGTCATGGCCAAGCCCAAGAACAAAATCCGCCGCTCGTACGACCGCTCCCAAGTGCTGCTCCAGGCAGGTGCTCCCTCCCCGGGGTGGCTTCCTCTTAGAAGTGGCGGTCTGTCGGTCGGGTCGTTCCTTGAGTTTATGAAACAGAGGACTTGGATATCTTTCTAAGTGTTTTTATTTTTTTTTACCAGCAATGCATTTACATTGTTGCTGTTTTCACACTCGTATCCAGAGAGAAAAGAAGAAGGGCAAAACTGGATGTCTAAGAAATTTAAAAAAAAAGAAGTAATGTGCACCAAGACTGACTTGCTGAGGCTGGTATCTGGCTGGAGGATGAACCGTGGTACTCTTTCGATCGCTGAAGCTAGTTTTCCGCGAGTCCCGACCACTCAAGGATTCCGAGGGTGGCCGCTAGGTTTGGCTCTTCCTTGAACTTAAGTTTCGCTGGTAATCTCTCAAGCCAACCTTGCCTTCTGGTTTCTTTTGTTCTCAAACCCCCCCCCCCCCCCCCCCCTCGCCTTTTTTTTTCCCTCTTCGCTACCCTTTCGTGTTTCTTCAAGTTCTTTTTCTTCTATGGGGGGATTGGTGGCAGAGCGTGTTAACGAATTGCAGCTCAAAACACATGGAGCGCGCGCTGCGGAACCTGTGGATCCTGGGTTCAATCCCTACCCCCGCCCATTTCGACCTGGATGAGCGTCATACCGGCGTGCGGTCATGTGTCACTACTCTGTGGTACACCTGATCCATCAGGCTAGCAGCCGTACTGCACTGGCTAAATTTCTCATATACAGTGGGTTACAATGCGGCCACACTCTGGCAGACTAAACTTCCGCTGTCTAAACGACTATTTATGGACGAAGAGCATGTTGGTGCAAGGCAAGATTGAAGAAAGATTAAACATGCGGTTGTGGTTATGTCGTCTTTGCCCTACATGTTTATTCTTTCTTTAATCTTAAACAATGGGTGACTAGTTTTTTATATTGCAATTAAATGCAAAGGTGCAAACGACCTGGACAAGAATGACGAAAATACTCCCTGGACAAGGGGAGCAAGAAGGACAAAGGAGAAATACAAATCTCCAAACACAGCTAGGTGACTAGTGCGCGACCGAAAAAATCCACCTGGTCCTGTTATCGAACCAGGGTCCTCTCCATTTCCAGTTTAGCTGTGTTTAGAGATTTGTGTTTGTTTTTTGTCCATCATGTTCCCCTTGTCCAGGGATTATTTTCGTTATTCTTGTCCAGCTCATTTGCACCTTTACATTTAATTGCATTATAATCATAACCTTAAAATGTAAGCCGTTCACCCTTGTTGCTGTTAGACTGGTGGCAGCTGATAAAACCCGTTTGTTCTACTGACATCTAACTCCTGGTTAGCTCAGTTGGTAAAACGCTCCACTGGAAATGGAGGTCCCTGGTTGGAGACCAGGAACAGGCGGATTTCTTCCGTCGTGCACCAGTCACCGAGCTGTGTTTGGTGATTTGTGTTTGTCCTTTGTCCCTCTGTTCCCCTTCTCCAGGGACTATTAGTGCAAAAGCATTAACTGTCTCATGGAGCGAGCCGATGTCATCAGCTTTGAACCTGCACCAAACGGCACTCTAAATCCTTTCTCCAAGTGAAGCCAGCTCCCAGCTATGAAACCACGCGAAAAGCCTAGACAACGGCACGTAGTTTGTCCGATCCTAAAGGAGCAGAGGGAAGCTGATGGATTTCGGTATCGGTCCCATTGGCTGGTACGCATCATAGTTTCAAGGAACAAGGCTCCCATTGGCCGCTGCACATCAGTTTCAACGACCGACACCCCATGGCGCTGCGTGTCCGTCAGCGCGCCGGTAACACGAGGCATCCAAGGTCAAAGCAGCAAGGAGAGGGCTCGTTTTGCCGTCGATGCAGATACGCCACAGACGAAATAAGGGAGCGGAAGAATGATGTGCATGCTTTCGCATTCACAACTCATAAGAAGTGCTTAGGTGTACTTCGAGCCTTTTTTCATCGTGGTTTTTTTGCTTTGTTTAATTAGGCGGCCAAGCTAGTTGCAGGGGGGGGGGGGGGGGGGACATGGAGGTCACTTGATTTACTCTGTAAGGAGGAATGCATTCTGCTGGGGCATTGTACTTTATCGTTTGGGGACCACAGTAGCTTTCTGTGGCTGCCTGTTTGAAGACTATCCGCAAACTTTCTACTGCGCGGGACGCGACTGTGGTTTTGTGTTTTTGGTAAACACCGAAAAACGCCGAAAAATGACTACTGAGACTATTTGACCAAAATCGGGGAGAACTGTGAAACCCTGAATTGGAGCTGTCCTTAAATAAGAAAACCTCAGGTTTCACAGGAAGAAATATTTGTCTGCAGCTTTATCTTGTTGGTCTGGAACGCAGTATAAATAAAGCCGTGCTACAGTGCTAGTTTTACATAGAATATGGTCTATTAAAGTGGACACAAGGTCAGCATATAACTTTCCTGTAGATGTTGCATTAGAACAGCATACTCTGGAGCTGGTACAGCAGTGTGCTTTTTTAGTAATGCAGTCTATCAGCACTGGCCTTCCCGAAATCTATTATTATCGAAAGATCTGCTGCCGCATTTTGGCGACTTGGTTCGAGGATTCCTTTGCACGAACTTGGAGGGTAAAATGATTAGCTACAACGGGCACAGTCACAGTGTTTCAGGAGCTCAATCTAAATCACTGCAGCTGTATGAAGCCAGCAGTCCAACCTGGTTTCTCGAGGGAACCTCCACTCTCGCCCATACCGCACCACGCGCAGCTCATGCCGATAAACTTTCAAACCGTTGATTCAGAAAATGGTGGCTTACAGCAGGTGCCAATTCAGCCACAAGCATACCGTGCACAGGTCCACGGAGAAAGCAGGAATGCGACGACTGAAGAGAGTCAAGACTGCATGGACCTGAATACAGCGTCACAAAAATTGTGAAATCGGAAGATACGGTTGACTTTATAATTTGAAGATTACAGGGACAGCAGATTGCATCAAATTAAACATACTCCGAATTAAAACGACCACACCCAAACCGTTTTTTTTTTTTAATTCAGTACTCACTGGGACAAGCTGATTTTTGCTTACCTCTTCTAACAGAGACTCATATTTTTTTTGGGGTACTCACTGGGAGAAGTTGATTTTTGCTTGCCTCTGCTAACAGAGATGCGCAGTGTTAACTATGCTCTGGAAACTAAACCTTTCTTAGGGCACCTTTGGCAGTTTCTTTGCCAAAGAGAATGCAAAATTGTACTCTGTAGTGCTGCAAGCAGTTTTTACATCAGTGGCACTCGGCCGCTCGGCACAGAAAGCGACGTGATTGTTTTTAGGCCTAACCACTTGCACAACGTCACTGTCCGAAAGCAGACTGCAGATTGTGGCATGTTTGTCAACATAAATTTATTCGATAGACAAAACATCTCACAAGACTGGATAATGGCTCAAGCCAAACTTTGTTGGCCATACGCGCAATGCTCACTTCCGTAACTTCCATGGGAATGATTCCATGTATTCTGGCTCAGCTTGGCTTGGCTTGGCATGGCATGGCTTGGCAACTTACTTGCCTCAACTGCCTAGCAACTAATTTGTGCCGCGCTCATTCCCTTTTTTTTTTCCTGACTGCGCACACGGCAGATAAAAGGGGTAGAGTGTACATGGATGCAATTTAAGCCTGGTCAGCATAATCGCGAGGCTTTTTCATGTTTCTTAAAGGGGCCTTGCAGCAACTTTTTGACTGGTTTTTAATTTGCACCGAACCTGAGCGCACTGAACGTAGTAACTTAATGAAACTTTTCTTTTCTCGAATTTCGCTTTATTTTAAAAGTTATAGGCAAATGAAAATTACAAAAACAAGCAAAAAATGACCTCCTTCATGACGTCGTAGGTCTTGGCTTGAGTGGCCTTGAACTAGAGGAGGGGTAGTGAGCTCATCGAGCGCTCACGGCTGCTGCACTCCGTGTCGACGGCTCGAGAGGGCGCCACTAAAGCATGTGTTGCATAGGCTGTATGAAGCTGGCAGCCAGGGCGGCTCGCATTGCATTTGCAGCGCAATTAAAGACTACTTCGGCATAACACTTCATTAGCCACAGACAACCGCAAACACGGGGTAAAGACCAGTTCAGAACGGGAGCCACTTCGCGCTGCCATACCGCCAAATGGCCAAATGGCCAGCCAAAACTGCGCCAAAGGCCTTTGGAACGCTCGGAACCGGTCGGATCCTCGAGCCGGTATACAACCGCAGCGCCGCCGCGTACATCCGGGACCTTTCTATGCTCGCCGTTCGTCGGTGCCTCATCCCACTACACCTTTCTAGTATGCGCCGTTTTTTTCCGCCGCTAGGTGGCGGGTATGCATCGGGTCATTTCTTGTTTCCGTACGTTATAAACTGCATTTGTTTCTTTTCTGGTCTAAAATACTGAACAAAAACTACTTTCATAAATAATTGAAATGGTTCGTGACACTTATATTTTGTATTTCAACTAAAAAAAGATTTTAGCGGCTCTGACCAGTAGCAAGACCAAAGACGTCACATTTTGCACGCTTTCGGCACCGCAAGTCGCCCTTGTAGGCGGAGGAGGTTTCCGCGTCGTCCAGTTAAAATATGACGCACTGATATTTACCGTATTTACTCGCACAATGAACGCACTCGCGTAATGAACGCACCCGCCAAGTCGGCTCTCAAAATTCTTACTTTTTTTTTTACTCGCGTATTAAACGCACCTCCAACTTGGACGTCAAAATTTTGACCCCCTCCCCCTACACGCGCGAAATGAACGCACTTTTCTATCCTGGTGCAGCGAGGTCGCGAATGCATTGGCAGCGTGGGCGAACAAAACGCCTTGCAAAAGGCGTTAAAAAAAAATAAAAAAAAGATCCAATGGAAGCAAGAAAAAAAAAAACATGGAGAGGAGCTTTTTTTTTTTTTGCACAGGGCAGTCTGGACTTTGGGTTCGCGCGCCTCGTGCAAGGAGATAAGAAAGAGAAGCGGAGAAGCCCTTGCCTAAACAAACGAAACAACTTGCCAAAGGCGGCAAAAAAAAAAAAAAAAAAAAAAAAAACCTAACTAAGAGAAAAAAAACAAAAAAAAAAACAGAGGAGCTTTTTTTCTTTTTTTTGCACAGCGCAGTTTCGTTACGGGGTGGCACTTTCGCACGCAAGGAGATAACAAAGATAAGCGGAGAAGCTCTGGCCTAAGCAACGCCTAAGCAGAGGAAACAGCTTGCGAAAGGCAGCAAAAAAGAAAAACAACCCACGGAACTAAGAGAAAACAAAAAACAACAAAAAAGAGCTTTTTTTTTTCTTTTTTTTTTTTTATTGCACAGCCCAGTTTGGTTAGGGGGTCGTGTGCTGTGCACAAAGAGATAAGAAGTTACATGGATTTTTCAGGATGAAGGGTCCGTTCATTATGCGAGTAAATACGGACGCAAAAATTTTACTTCGCGTAAAAAAGAAGTGCGTTCATTCTGTGAGTAAATAGGGTAGTTACTTTCATTGTGCCCGCTGGCTTGCCCGAACCCCAAGGGATGTGGAAACCGCAAAAACGATAGACGCTTAAATATGATTGAGGGCCCCTTTAAAGGGGCATTGAAGTTGATTCTTAGATCGTCCTTTTGTGGTGACAACTCAATCTAGACGCTCTAAGCATCCCAACAAACTCGAAACCACAGCCATGTGTAGCTTATTTTCTCGTTAATAGCGTGTTCAAAGATTGACACGCCTTTTTTTGGAAAAATTTACTTCAAAGTGAAGTGGTTGACGAAGGGCACTTCTCGGCGAGTTGCAAGCGATGGCTTCGCCCGCGGAGAAAAAGAGAAGTCTTATCTGAATGTGTACCTATCGGACTAACTTTCTTCGAAACAAGTTATAATAAAATCATTCGGAACCTGCACGTATTGTAGGGCTTTCATTGGTCCACACAATTTATTTATTTATTTTTTTATCTTTACTGGCAGCCATAAGGCCAGGGCAGGAGTGGTACAAATAGCAAACATAAACAAAAGGTCATAATTACATATGCACAAAAAACCATGAATAAAAAGGTGTTAATTACGTGCATACACAAACTCTAGTTCCCTTGCGAATGACATGAGATCTTCGGAATTGACAACACGTGCCGGTAGCTTGTTCCATTCATCCATACACCGAACAAGAAACGTAGTCTGCGAGAGAAAATAGTCCACATGTTTTTCTATTGCCCTGAGATGAATCGACGGTTTTGATATATAGGACTTGGTGTATGTGGCAACTAACACGTTTAAAAAAATATACCGTAGAATACTGCACATCCGCCCGTTCCACATTAAGCGCCCATTACCAAATTTGTAAGATCTGAGAAAATCCGCACAGTACATTTATATGTCAAATTGATGACCGGACAAGCGCCCATCCCTCATTTTTTGTGATTATCTCCAAAGTTTAAGTGGGTGCTTGCTCGGTATTTTACGGTAAGATTAAAAACAACCTTTTTCAAAATTGACTTCAGTGCCCCTTTAAAGGTTTGCCAAAGACGTTTCTGCGATCATCTGTTCTTGGCGATAACTCATTCTATGAGATCTTAGCATTCCAGAAATGGAAAAATTATGCTGGTGCAACGTCTATTTTCCTACTAAAAATGGGATTGAAGTTTGTGCCACGCCCCTTTCTGAGTGGAAAAATCTGGAGCACAGAATTCAGTGGAGGTGCCGGCGGCTTGATGACGGACGCGCGTCAGCCAATCGCAAGCAGCCCCTCTCAAAAAGACTGCTTGCGATTGGCTGATGCGCGTCCATCGTTACGCCACCAGAACCTCCACTGAATTCTGTGCTCCAGATTTTTCCACTCAGAAAGGGGCGTGGCACAACCTTCGATCACATTTTTAGTAGGAAAATAGACGTTGCGCCAGCATAGTTTTTCCATTTCTGGGATGCTAAGATCTCATAGAATGAGTTACCACCAAGAACAGACGATCTCAGAAATGTCTTTAGTGCACCTTTAAGTTACCAAACTTCTCGATCGCATAAAAAAATCCTTCGAATTATCCAGTTCCAGGGGTTAAACATAGAATTACCGTGTGTTTTTCCACATAGACTCATACGCGTCTTTGCCTGAACTGTGCCCCTGCTTCGAACTAACAAAAAGTTTGAATAAAGCGACTTTGAATTACCAAGAGTCGACCGTAAAAAAGAAGAAACTTTGGCTAAAATTACCTCGACAGACGCATTCTTGCTGAATGCTGTGTCTTGGCACTGTTGACGCACTACATATTGGGTGGGTAGACCAATCTGCAGTCAGCTCTTCCGTTAGTCGGAGGTATATCAGTGGAGTCGTGTGGCGTTGAGTCGGAAAACAGTTGGAAGAAGGCCGACATTCATACTTTGTGAAGCGTTTGAATGCAAGCAAGGAGAGGAGGGGGGTGGGTTTGCCTCTTTGCGAAAGTTCTGCAGCCGAACCGATCTGGTAACGGCGGTGTCCGAGAGAAGGCTGTAAATTTCGTACGGACTCTCCGGACGCACGAGCCCGACGTTGTTCCGCTGCGTCGCAGGTGGTGGAGCGGTGCGCGGAGGGCCCCTTCGCCATGACCGGGGAGGACCCCCGTCTGGACGAGCTGTACCGGCTGCTGGTGGACGTGATGGAGAACCACGTGCCGGCCGCCCTGAGCCCCACCGACCGGTGGCTGCTGGGCCGGCTGCTGGCAACCCTGGCACGCGCTCTGGCCACGCTGGACCTGGAGCCCGAGAGGGAGGCGCTGCGACAGGCGGCGGCACGTATCGAGGTGCGCTGGCCGGAGGGCAACGGTATTGTGCCTCGGACGCGTCTTTCACTGGCGTGTTTACCGCCGTCCTCACTCGCAGTCCCTAGATTCCCACTCGACGGCGTCGTAAAAGTGTCGCGGTGTTACCTGCCGCGATTGGGGCGATTGCGCGGGGGCAGGAACGGAAATGGCGGGCACCTGTTCTGCTGTAGGTCACTCTCTCCAGCCTGAGAGTCCACAGAAGCTTCAGCGGCCAAAAGTTTGGGCACGACGATGACAGTCCCGTTTCTCGTGCTTTTTGTTGGAAATTCTGCAACGCGCTGCGAAGGTTGTGACGTCTTTCAGCGCGATACACCGGTTCTTGCAGCGTCGTTTGTCTCTGCTTCGGGGCCCCTTTTGGCACCTGGGCGTTTGTGGGACGCAGTAAGGTCGTTCCACGCGAAACGATCCGGGCCTAAATTTGACCCTCGAGAATTGGGTCTTGACGACAGGCAACAAATCTCCAATTGCGGCGTACTAGCTACAGTGAATATTTAAAAAAGGAAATAGTGGATTTTAGGTAATTAATTTGCTAATTTATCACTTTACGGCCATAATCCGATGTCTTCCACGGTCGAAAAAGTTATCTGCAAGAAATCATTTTGAAATTTCGAGCTCTTTTTTTTTATATTAGCTTGGGTCGTCAGTGTGGTGTTGAGATTTGCTGCCTCTTTGGGATTAATTAATCATTTGCAGTTTCTTTTCTTGTACTCTGCAGGGAAGTGTCGAGGGTCAGCCCGAAGGCCAAGCGAAGAAGCAGACGCGCTCCAACACGTTCCCGACCATCGAAGAGCGCCTGCAGGGCCTGCTCCAGTCCTGGAACTCCCTGGGACTGTCCCCGGACACACTGCGGAGGCCGCACCAACTGGTCGCCGCCTGGCTGGCTGCCCGGGACTGCTGATGGCATGCCTTAAACGTTTTCATTGGACTGCGCCTTTGCATTCCCCACTCACAGGCGGCAGGGGACGGCCGCGGGTGCCAAGGATGCAAACCGTGGCTTTGCTGCCGCATTGTGCGGATTTCTGTATGCACGTTTCAGTGCAACCTTATTAAAGAGGAGGACCTCAGCGTTGCCTCAAACTTTCACCGTCGCATAGACATTTTTACGGCTTAAGGAGCCATTTTTTTTTTTTTTTTTCAGAGGGTCTTTTATGTTCTTTTTAAGGTGACTTGAAGGCGAAAGCAGATGCATTAACCCTTTGCGGTCATGTTGCGGACCAGGCCCGACATCGGAGAAACGCGCTTCTGGTCAGGTGTCGGGCGTCGCCCGACACATGTTTCCGTGTCCTTTTAAACATGCTCCTTCGCTCTTTTTGCTGGATTGGTGGCGCCATCTCTTGGAAAACACTTCAATCACATCACTCTTGAAAGGGTTCAAGTTTCTTCTCATAGAGGGGCAGGACTACTCAAAAAACAAAAAAAAAAAACATGTTTCATGTCGTATGTTTTTTTGTTTTTTTTGCGCAATAGAGGAGCGCACCAGTTTCAACTTCGCTGGCACGATGGTTACAGCCACGTTACAGCCACGCTCGTTTTATGTAACTCTGCATAATATAATTGAAAGTGACGACGATTTCAGTGAAGAGGACGACTATATCCCTCCATCAGATGATGGAGAGGCGACCTCTGTGATTTGAGTGAAAGTAGTGATGAATATGAAAACACTGCGCGAGACAGCGGCCGCGGAGCCGCTTCGCCACAAACATTGTCCCGGAGTTTGTACACAAACAATCTCCCGGACTTTCCTGTCCTTACATTCAGTGTGAGACGTTGCCTTTGTACGCCGAAATAATTTTACCCATGCGTACAAAATAGGTCCTGACCGGAATGACCATTAAGTTGGTCAGAGTATCTGACTGCAAAGGGTTAAAGACAGACACCCCTCTTAATGTGCTGAGTCATCCTTCTCAATGTGCTGAGTCATCATCTTAATTTGCTTAGTCATCCACTTAATTTTCTCTAATTCCTCTTAATTCGCTTTGTCATTCTTCTTAATTTCATTGCCTCCAATTCACCTGAATGGTCACGTAAACGTTTTGGTACCTTTTGTGTCGCCGGCGTGTTTTTGCTCAAGGACTTTGAAGGTCAACTGAACGATAAGACATATAAGGCTTTCACCTTAAAAGGTAACAAATATTGGGCGATCATTGTGCCGAGCAATATCAATGGATGCGAAGCAATTAGTGTTCTGAAGCAACTAGTTTCTGGCAGAGAGCCCATGTAATTTTCTATCTCGCCTTTAACGTCAATAACTTGTGGACATAGCATTGAAGCAAGAGGACAGCGCCTAAATTTTGCATTGTACTCGCATTCTGAATTGGGCCCCCTGATGATAATATTCTGCGATTGAATTTATTTTTACATATACACAATAACTGCTACTATTGTTTCTGGGGGCCAATACCCAAAATGAAAATAAATTTTCCAATTGGGGTATCAGCTTTCATATAAAGATAATAACCTAAACTGAAAGTTTATCAGCTGTACTGTATGATAGGGTAGGCTCATTACTCCTTCAAACTCCAGGAAGCCACAAATTTTGGTTGATTTATCAGAAATGCATCTAAATGTGATACAAGATGAAATTATTTATTTACTTATTCATCCCTCATAAATGTTGTCTATCGTGGACCGTTCAAACCGCACAAGAGACCTCAAAAGAGCAAGTGCGAACACAGCTTTGGCCAAGTACCACTTGGGCTACAAGACAATGGGAGATTAGATTGTATTTGATAAAGTAGCAGCTATGGCTACGACCTTGAAAAGTTGCCAGATGACGATGTGAAAACGGCTGCATTCGAAGTTTGCGGTTGGGGCGGCAGCATTGTTCTGCAGTTCCGAAGACTTCTGTGGTTGAACCAACTACGTATGCTTATGAACATTTGACTGTTTATGGCCATAGAGACTGTTTTCTGCTGGTAGCAATGTCATGTGCAAAAACAAAAAGTATGAATTGCTTGAAAATGCCGTACGAATTAAGTGGCTTATAAATGCACAACTTTCAGCGCTAGTGGTACCGCGGTGTGAGAATTGTGCTCCCTAGCTGCTGGATGATTGACGTCGGAATAGACCTGTTGCTTGCATCTTGCTGACGTGGAGGTATGAGCTACGGCTCTTATGTCGCTCGTACTTCATAAATATAGAATTGCACGCTGCAGACCCAACCTCGTACTGCTGTTCTACGACAATCATCCAGTTGACAGCCATTTTGATAGAAACTAGAGCGCCCCCTGTAGGCCATGAAAGTTGCAAATACATTGAACACATTGCGGGACAACCAAAACTTTGAAATTTGTTTGAATTAACCAGAAGTATGAAATATCCGAGTTTGAATTATCTCGAGCCTACTTCGGTTGCACAGTGCATGTCGCGTGAATGCTGTTGGCACTTTATAATTGTGTGTTGCTCTTTTATTATGATCGCAAATGGGAATGGCTGCCGGTACGTAGGGCAAATCTATGACTGCACTTCCGCATGAGGTTGTTCATTCCCATTTACTCTACCTTCTATCTCATCAAGCTTTTGCAGGCACTGGGTGCAGGCGCTTCTGGCACGTTGCCATTACAAAGTTTCTTGAGGGTACTTGTCGTCAGAGAGCCATCTATGTTTGAGCACCTTGAATCGAGCGCATGGAGCACAGTGACTATTGGCCATGTGTACACCAACAGAGTGAATTCTGAGGGTATGCATGGCAAGAACTGCAGGTAGAAGTTGCACCCTTGCAGGCCTGCGTGAGCATAGATGGCGGACATAGTATAGGACCGAATTGTGATCATAGACTATTTCACCCTTGATCGCATATCTTCATTTAGTTTAAATTTACTTTGAAGCTTTGAAAAGTGGGGGGGGGGGGGGGGGGGGGGGGGGGCAGGGGCAGGCAGGCAGGTAAGAGGTGTAGTGCTAGTTTGGAGTGGATAATAGACAAAGGAAAAGGAAGTGTGTCATAATACATGTGTTCTTCCAGATACTCTAACCCATTTATTCTAGAAATAGTTCACTGTAAACTCGGTAAAATATGTTTTGTCCTGTCTTTCTTCGTACAGGGACACTGACGGTATTTATGATTGCCAAGGTTTTTATTTGTACATGACGTGTGGGAGCCCAACTACCCACAACACAATTTGCAGCTCGAAATTCATTTTCTTTCCGCCCAAAAACTGCCGATCGAGAACTGGCCGGTTTGAGTCGCACTCACTCTCTTCTCCGTGGTAACGTGCCGTTTTCTATGCTTTAGACACATCCACTGAACTCTACTATAGGGGGCTGGATGACGTATTGAGCAGACGGGTTTGAAGCCACCGGGAGTAAGCGGCTTGTCCCTGAAGTGAGCGCTTGACAGGCTTTTCAACTTTTCCGAGTGCTGATTTGAACGCCGTTCAGGGCGCTGGGTTTTCTCTTGTCATCCCAAGAGAGCGTGCTTGTTGCGGAGTAACAGTGCATGCGGACTTCAGAAGTCTCCTGGGAAGCCATTCGATGTGAACATTTTGAGATTCTAGTTTACCAAGTGTGCATATGTCCCACGTTCAAATGCCTTATTCTCGGGATTTAATCCAGAACGGGAGTATTAAAACCCAATCAAAGACACAAAAAATCATGGATTAAAAATTAATAGGAAACCCCGCGCACATCCGATTTCCGGGACAAGCATGGAACTTCCGATTGCTTCACTTGCGCCAGGCTAGAGTGAACTAGAAATGAGCTGAGTGGGGCGAGCTACAGGCTCCGCTCATGCTTTCAGTTGCACCTCAAAATGTGGAAAGCGATCAAGTGGAACCGAGCCACTTCGATTGCAGCGCCGCCTTCGTTTCGATCGAAGCGAGCGATGACACAGTTCAAGGTCATATGGACAATATAGTCCCTAATAGCTCAATAGGAGCTATATTGTATTTTTTATGATTTTGGCGTCTGAGGTAATTTCAAAACACGTCACGCCGACGTCATCGTCGACTACGACATTCCCGACGCCAAGATGCTGTCGTAAGGCCGTCGTGACATCGCGTTGCGTTGAAGACGACACCAATTCCCGACATCAAGTCGCCGTTGTAACGCGGTGGTGACAATGCGTCGCGTTGATGACGACGCCATTTTGCGACATCAAGTAGTTGTAATGCGGTCGTGACATCACGTCGTGTTGAGGACGATGCCATGATGTGATATCAAGTTGCCGTTGTAACGCGGTCATTCCGTTGCACTGTGTTGAAGATGACAACGTTTTGTGAGAGCAAGTCGTCGTAATGCGGTCACGACATCGCATCGCGTTGAGGACGACGCCGTTTCGCGACATCAAGTTGCCATTGTAACGCGATCGTGACATTGCGTCGCGTTGAGCACGACGCCGTTACGCGACATCAAGTCGCCGTTGTAACGCGGTCGTGACATTGTGTTGCATTGACGACGCTGTTACGCAACATCAAGTCGCTGTTGTAATGCGGTCGTGACATCGCGTTGCGTTGAGGACGATCCTGTTTCGCGACATCAAGTTGCCAATGTGGTCGTGACGTCACGTTGATGACGCTGTTTGGCGGCATCAAATCGCCATTGTAAAGTGGTTGTGACATTGCATCGCGTTGAAGACGACGCCATTTCGCGACATCAAGTCGCCGTTGTAACGCGGTCGTGACATTGTGTCGCATTGAGGACGACGCCGTTACGCGACATCAAGTCACCGTTGTAACGCGGTCATGACATTGCACCGCGTCTAGGACGACATTGACATTATCAATAGGTGTTGATGCCAATGTTGGCGTCGACGACCCACGTAACGTTGAACGTTGCAATGACGTCACATTAACGTCGTCGCCAACGCCAATGTCACGACTAAGCCTTGACGGCGTGTAACATCGTCGCCTTCGCCAACATCAACGTCGACACGCCTTCACGACGAAGTCTTGACGTCGTGTAATGTTGTTGTCAACGGTGACGTCGTAAAGTTATCGGGACGTCGAGTTGCTTCATGTCGACAACGACATCGACGACCTGACACCAAGCGTCTTTATGACATTGCGTGACGTCAACAATGTCAACGTTGACATTGATGTCATTGTCAACACACTATGACATCAGAACGCAGTCTTGATGTCATATAATGCGCGTTGTCAACGTCGATGAGGACATTTACGTCAAGGCGTTGTCGTGATGTCGCATGGCATTGTGACGACAAGCCAGGTCGCGGCAACATTATGTATTGACGTGAAGACTGACATCTAGGTTGCATAAAATTTATAGCCTGGCGTTGCATTGTTGCTGTGACCTTGACCAGTGTGCCGGTCTAGCTTGGCGTTGGAATACAACATGTTTTTCATAAAAAACGGCTATTCCGAACCACTTTGCTCGTAGCGCCCGACGGCGCTATGAGCGAAGTGGCTTGGATTAGCCATTTTTTTCCACATGCGGAGGTGCAGAAATAGCACTCGGGTGGCCCCACTCGTCCATTCTAGTACACTCTAGCCAGGCTTGGTGAGCGGTGTAAAGCCCCTTCATGTTTTAAAAGTAGCGCAATGTGCGTCGACGCACGAGGCACGTGCAACGTTTAGCCCTTGGGAAGATCATGGCGACACAGCGCAGCACTGAGCTAGATTTCAGACACCATGTTCTTCCCAGAAGTGGCGCGTGGCACGTGTCTCGAGAATTTCCACAACAATGAATGGTGCCACTTTTCCCAGGATAGAGGGGCTTTAGAGCGGTGAGCAGCTAAGCGCCATCCAGCCCCCTATAGACCCACTGCGTTGCCCAGGGGGTGCTGCGAAAAGGGACTTGTTAGGACTTGTTTTGGGTAGTACAAATTTTAGCGTTTCAAACTGTCACGCATGCAGAAGCGTGCCTGCTCTGGTGCGGAGCGCGAGATCACGATGAAAATACAAAGAAACAAAAATTCGAACGCCGTCAAAGCTGAGCGTGAACCAAGAGATGCCGTTTCCCGCGTTCCAAAGTAGACATGAAAAAGAAAACAAAATGGAAGCGTCGCGACACAGGTGTTCAGACGTCACCACCCAGCGATAAGAAAAGCGTGCCCTAGCGGTGATGTCATGAATTTGGCAATTTCGATTGTATTGCGGCGTTGAGTCTGGCCGATTCCTGGCGTCCAAAGGTGTTTTTTCGTTCTTCAGCACCACACAGAATTTAAAAAAGCTCAACCAACGTGCCATAAGTAGTGCGAGGCTCAAGCAGGTGAGCTTGTACTACCCGAAATGAGGGCGCTACAGTTTGTTCAAAGCTCCAGCGCAGGAGGCCTATATCAGTGGACACAACCATCAAATGCTAGTCGGGGTCATCGAAGGCACACACTCGATACCAAAAATAGACAGAAAAATAAATACGTTGATCGAAAAAAAAAAGAAAAAAATCTTTCAGCTTTTTCACTCTGGTGAAGAAGGAAGACCAGCGGAGATGGCCGGCCGCAAGTCGGCAAGCCAGAGTGGAAACCTACCGCCATCTATGAGCGTCGCTCATAGATGGCGGTAGGTGTCCAGAGTTCGGTGTCTTCATTTCTTTGCAGGGGACACGATCCTGGGGAAACTAGCCCTTAACAGATCCGCTGTAAAAAATAAGTGGTTGTCAGTGTCTTTTCAAATGTCGCTTGCCCCTTATCCCTGTAAACTCCATTTCACGTTTTGTTTTTAATATCCTATCAATTAATTAATGCACTCTTTTACTTTAGACTTATTTGTGTTTCTAATGCGCTCCCCATCTGCAGAACCTAGAGCACTATATAGCTCCTTCGGAGCAGAGTAGCGCAATCTAGAACGCCGCCTCTCGGCGACTAGCGGCGAACGCCAGGAGGTTCCAACTGCGGTCAGAAATGCATGGAGAACGTGAGAAAATCGTTGTTTCTTCAGTTTTGTGGGGATGTGCAGAATGGAAATCATTTTTGACATAATAATGAAACATTTTAGAATAATATGCGATAATGATACAAGGACGAAACTTTTTTTTTAAAATTGCCTGAGCGGCATCATGCAGCAGACGACACGGCGACGTCACACCATTCACGTGACCCGCTCCGGCCAACCCGAAAAGCCCAGCTCCGCTGCGAGCAAAAATCGTCTGCTTCAAACGCCATTGCCTTGGAAATTGCCTTCTCAAAATTTGCACACGTATCCGATATTGTTAAAACTTTGATAAAGTGTTTAGTGCTTTACTAACTTCACGACAGACTAGTTTTGAAAAGTGTGAACTCGCCGTTCATTTTTTAATCAGCCGTGTTGTGTCGATCTCCATGTATTCTCCCATAGGGCGGGCCGCCTCCTGGAACCCTGAGTACCACGTGACTCGCGCCGAGCCGCTCTGTCGGCCATGTTGTCGGCAAAACACGGAGTTCAAAGGATTGCGCTACTCTGCTCCGTAGGAGCTATATAGTGCTCTAGCAGAACCCAGCTAGGATCCTGGGTTCAATCCCCACCCCTGCCCGTTTTGACCTGGGTGAGCACTGATCTCTATGACAGATCAGTGTGGATGAGCATCGTACCGGCGTGCGTTCGTGTATCACTACCGCATGATGCACGCGACCTCAGGCTGGCGGTTGTACTGCACATAGTTATTTCAATGGTACTGCACTGGCTAAATTTCTCATCTAAAGCTGGGAGACCCTTCACCCGTTGAGGCAGACCAAATTCTAATTTTTCTATCCCGATTCCCACCCAGGAGAAATAAAAAAACAAACAAGAACGAAAGAGGAAAATTTACGCTGCGGATAACGCCACGCGCTCCGTAGGCCACGAAGTCGATTATTTGACGTGTTTCGTTGGTTTCGTTCTCTTTGGAACGAAACAGACTTCGCCTAGTGCCTCGCAGATATTTCGAGCCGTTTACTGCCGGGTTCCAACCAGGTTCGGCATTGGTTCATTCTACTCGAGTCTTTTGACGCGTTCCGGCGTCCACCCGGCGTTGATCTAGCAGACTCGCGACGGTGCGAGAAGGCAACAGTGGCAATCAGCTGTGCGGTCGCGGTCCCGCCGCCCGGCGCCCGGACGCCCGGACCACGACCAACTGCCCGGACGACCGCGAAGTTTCGGAAGGCGTCATGGCGTCGGCGGCGGCGTCTTCTTCCCTGGGCGTGCTGCGGCAGCAGGCGCGGGCCATGCTGGAGGCCGGCATCCAGGCGGTGCTCCCGGGCGCGCTGGTGGCGAAGGCCATGCGCCGGGAGGGAAATACCCTGTACCTGGGCAGCCAGCAGGTGCTGCCGCTGGCCCACAACGTGTACCTGGTGGGGTTCGGCAAGGCGGTGGGCGGCATGGCCCACGTCGCCCAGCAGCTGCTCGGAGACCATCTGATCCGGGGGGTGGTCAGCCTGCCTGTGGGCACCAGGCACACGGCAGAACTCTTGCACAAGCCGTAAGCACGCACCAGGCGAGGGCCGGAGTCCGGACCTTTTGCTTGGATCGGTTAAAAGAACTGGCCGTCTCGGCCGAGTGGAATCGTGGTTGTAAACTTCTTTAATATGTTTTTGGTTCAGAATGCGGCTGATCGTTTTGATCAATTGCTTATCTTGATGAATCCAAATATGCCCTTGTACGTCCAGTGTGCCACAGCCTGTGCAGTGCATCAAACGTCTGGGCTGTTGTTCTTTTGTCTTTAAAACTTGTTGTTGGTGTTTGGGAGGAAATCTCTTTCGAATGTGACGCCTGTCCTACCTGCAGCAAGTCTGAAAAATCAAGCGAATTGAATTGGCTGCTGCCAAGTCGTCGTTAAAAAGGACGTCCAACCAAGCTATTTGAGGCCTAGGGGGATATGTTCGACAAATGTTTAATCTCTTTTCTAAAAAGAAACGGAAGTGACAGGAAGTGACGATATTGTGTCTGGTGTGTTAGAGGCTCAAATTACACAAGTTCCCTCTTTCGTCATTTGAGCCTCTAGCCAATCAGACGCGATATCGTCACTTCCGTTGTTTTTTTTTTAGGAGAAACGAAACATTTGTTGAGCATAACCCCCTGCTCTACTACTTTTTCTTCATGGATGACGATGGCCATCGAGGAGCAGTTTCGACCAAGACTAAAATCTTTGTCGAGAATTGGATATATGAAGATCCGGTTGAGCTCTGCTTTTTTCTCTCTTGGCACTCTTGAAGCAGACATTATGACCTGATGTCAGCACCTCCCAGACGCCAAGGCTGAAATGCTGGCTTTTCTATGTCCCCACCAAAGGTCACCACAGGGCACAGATTGACTATTTGGCTTACACACTCGACTTCAACATTCGGCATTCAGCTGGAACTCGGTAAGCGACGACATGAGCCTAAGCCAAATGCTGACATGGCACTGGTGCCTAGTTTGTGCACCGTACTGGCCTCCAGGAGGTGACATACATGCGGGGTCCTGAATACTGATAGAGCCTTTAAAGGAGCCGTGCAACAGTTTCAGTGCTTTGCTGAAACAATTTGGGAGTTGGTGTCTCTACCTTTCTGAACTAAAAAACAAAAAAACGCTTTTGCCTGCATGCCCTAGTTTTTATTTTAAAAATGAACAAAGATTGAGGTTTTCGGCACCTCTCAACTCCTTCACCATTAGGGTGACCACCTGTCCCGCGACTCGCGGGACTGTCCCGCAAGAAATTCCAAATTCTTCAAAGTGTCCCGCATTTCATACTGTAGTAAAATTCACTCTGCAACTCATGGCGCTGCAGAACAACGGGGCACGGGGAAGCACCGGAGGTCGCTGGTAATCGTGTAAATCGCAATGGTACACCATTTTCTATCGAAGCATTGCGGGAAGCGACCATCGTTCTTGCAAAAGCTACGACGCGCGTGCTCCGTTGTGCCTCTCCCCTTGGTGGCAAAATATTCTAAGAAAAAATGCTCGCCAAAGGTTTCAATATAAAATATTGTAATTATTTTCAAATCGCTGTGTCAATGCGAAAGGGTTGCTGTGGATTTTTGTTTTAGTGAAGACAGCCACACAAGGCAAAAAGCCTGCAACTCGCAACAGTCGAAAAATAACATAATGTTAAAAATTTGTGTAGGACCATGTTGATAAAAGTAAGCGTTGACAGGAAAAAATCCCAAAGAAAGATTCACCGTTTCTTATTTCCATTTATGCATTGAATTCTGCTACAGTCCCCGCAATATGACGGAGGCTTATTGCGGAGAAGGCGCCGTGTAACCGAGCTTTCGGTTGCACGTCAAAAGATCCCCAGGTGGTCGAAATTAATCCTCAGTCCTCCGCTGGGGCGTGCCAGATGCCCGTCGTAGGTTTGGCACGTAAAACCCCCAAATTTTTTGACTGCTACAGTCGATTTTTGTTTCCAACTTTGACACATTTAATAACACATTTGTCATAAAAATATATCACTTGGTGTGAAAATTAATTGAGCTTAATTGGTGCAATACAATTAGTTAACAGAGCCTCGGTTTGTGGTGTGCGTGTTAATTAATTTTCCTCTACCCCCCCCCCCCCCCCCCCCCTCTCGCCTCTCGTGTCCCTCATTTCGCTAGCAGGAATGTGGTCACCCTATTCACCATCTTCCGAGTCACGTGCGCTGTGACGTCAATGGGGGTCGCGCAGGGTTCCAATGAAACTCTCTCTAGAGCCATCAGTGAGCAGCGAGAACTCATCCGCTCACGACCGTATGACCACGTGCTGGCGGGTGCAGCGCCAACAATATGCTGAAAGGAGGAAAGTCTCATCCGGGTCCGGCCATACCCGTCCGGCCCTGTCCCCCTCCCCATTCGGCTTCTGGCGGCTATTCGCGGTAGCAGATAGAGCTGACGGTTTTGTGGACCTAGGATAGATGACGCCACTAAAACTCCGTATAATAAAAGTTTTGTCGATGATACCAGTTTTTTGACGCATTTATATTAATGTTGGAACGACAAGATTTATAGAAAAGTTATCTTTTATCGAGCAGGTATTCGCATAACTTGCTATCTTTCTACAAGACCCCCATTGACATCATGCCGCGTGTTTCTCATGGCCGTCGCTCGCGGCTGCAGGTCGGGGAATATTCCAATTTTCGCCTCGCGATTACGCGGTGGAATCGCAACATTTCGAAGGAAGGAGGTGTGTTTTCTGTCCTTTGTGACAAGATGAACAATGTCAAAAGGAGAAAATGGCAATTCTTTCAACATTAAGATTGTTGCACAGCTCCTTTAAAGAACCCCTGAAAAGAAAAACATTTTTTTTTTAAGCAGTGGTTGGAACACGCGTGTCAAAAAATTAATTTTAGGCAGAAGAAACAAAATTTTTTTTTTAAAAGCAGTGTTGACGGTGCGAGACGCGATTTAGTTGGTAGTCACCTCCTTTCTTTTTTCTCTTGAGATTTAAAGCGCGTGGATGAGAGGTGGATCAGCTTCGCCTTCACGTTAAGGTGGAAAGAGTGAATTACCATCTCGTTGAGTGAATGACCATTCCGTGACATCATGGACTTAGTGCACAAAATTTCAAATAAATCTCTCGCCGTCAATATTGCTCTAAAAATATTTTTTTTTCTGTAAAATTTATTTTTTGACATGCATGTACCAACCAGATTGCTTAAAAAAAAGTTTTTTTTCTTTTTAGGGGATTTTTAAAGTGACCGCAGAAACCGGCTTGCTAGCGTATTGTGCTACGATTTACCGCAGAGGTGCCCGAAGGTGGTAGAAGCATCACACCAAAGTTTCAAAAAACAAACTTACCAGAGTAAAAAGTAAAGAAAATGTGAAGTGATTTTTCTCTATCTACGGTGCCCGTATACTATTTGCAGAGCCTCTCTGAGTGGTGCAACAACCGAGAGATGACGGCAGCGGCGGCTTGTGGCTAAACTTGCAGCAGCTCAGCAGCCCCCCCAGTCGTGGCAAAAGCAGACGACATGTAGTTGAAATGGCTTAACGAACAGTCAGTTTTATTTGTTTTGTGTTTAGTTGTGTATTTTATTGGGAAGAAAAAAGAAATCGTGAACTGACCATTATAGAGCCGAAAAAGCGTGCACCATTTATGACTCTATAGGTGAATTTGGGTGGCCGCCTCTCTCCTTTGACCTTGTCCTTGACCACCAGAGTTACTCGGGATCCTTTTCAGCCGATCACAACTGCTGAGCTCGGAGCGCAGTGACATTCTGGGACCGGTTATGAAAGTAAAACTTCTGGACATTAGACACAGATAAAAAAAAAAAAAGATTTTTACAGTGCACAATAGATAATTTATTAAAATTTACAGTTGCAACATGATAAAATAACGAAAAAATACCATAAGCAGCATGCGCATCGACCTTCGCAGATTGTAACGAACGGCTGCGTCCGGGGATAGTTGTCAACTCATCGCGTTTTCGAGAGTTGACGCGATGTGACAGCGGAAATGTGTACGGCAAAACAGGCAAATATCAAATGGTTAATAAACCACATTTTTCTCAGCAGAATATCATGCAAGCATCACCCATAGGACATAGCACGTATTGCCATGTGACACAAATCACAGTGCATTATTGTTGGGTCTCCCTTTATTTTGCAACACAAACCTTTGAACACAGTTTTACATAACCAGAAAATTCCTCGATGCGTCCACAAAACTCATCAAAACAGCGACGAGCTTTGCAAGCTGTTTCTTCATTGTTTAGGCTTAGTGGGTTCACTGCCATCAGATGAACAATCTTGTAAAAGCACTGGGAATACCTTCCACATCGAGTTTTCCTGTCACTGTCACAAGCGAATGTCTTCCCGTCCATTGTATACTCGCACCGTTGAACGCACGTGCACTTAGAACCAGATATCCAATGCCGTCATGCCGCATCCCGCAGACTGCCGCAGACCACTGCTGTCGCCATCGTCAGCAAAACCATGTGGTCCACGTACTATGCGACTCCTGCACCGCTCTGCACTCTGACGGCTAGAGACAGAGTGATAGGGGGAGCTCCGAGAGGGAGGGGCGCCCTAGGAAAGAACCAAGCGATCAGGCCACCGCACTCTCATTCCACCACCCAATCTCATATGCTCTGGAAAGAGTGCTCTCTAGAGCAATGCAGAAATAACCACGCATCTTTGCCATTAAACATTGTCTGCCCATGGTACTACTGCCATCTGTTGGTTGTCGCGCCAGTCGGAGGGTGCGCGATAGCATGCAGGCACCTTAGGTAGAAAAAATCAGTTATTGTTTTTTTACTTTTTAGTTAGGCAAGTTTGTTTTTCGAAATTTTGATGCAGTGCTTCCACTGCTTTTGGGCACCCGTATTTGGGACCCCCGCTGTAGAAAACCCAGCACAGCGGCCTCATCATCTCGGAGGTGTCTCTGCGGTGCGCTCCTAGAGGGAGAGAAGGTCGTGTGCCACCAAGTTAGGTTAATTTCTCCTTTAATTAACTCTAGGCAGCAAGATATTATAGGGGTTAGAAGTACTCGAGCTTTGGAAATTGCATCTGCATTCCTATAAGTTGTGGTTGACCCACAGCCGCCTTTGGTGGTGCCAGGACAAACAGGAACTTAGGCCATATCCTCGAGTGGATTCAGTCCAAGTCCTCACGTGCAGGGAGATGGTCCCTCGGGATCCGGTGCAGGTGTACGAGGGGGCCCAGAACAACCTTCCGGATGACGCCGCCATGGCGGCCGCCACGGCCATCGTGACACTCGTCTCTCGCCTGCAGGCCACAGACCTGCTGCTGGTTCTCATATCGGGTGAGCCGGACATTGTATGCTTTACCAACAAAAAGCAGCTCATTGCTACAACAACGAACGATTCTACAAGTGTTAGCGTGTCCAGTGACCGCCATAGAGAATTAAGGGAACCGTGAGCGTTCCTAGCTAACTTCGCTCACAAGGATACAGCATTTTACTTGCCTGCTTGACAATTAATGTGCCATACTAGAGCTGCTTTAACACCTAGCATGGTTTTTCTAAGTAAAACCTCCGTTAGCTCTCAAGTTTTGTACCAGCTCCAAAGTCGCGTCTAATTTTTAATAATATTCATCTTTGACCAAATTAATGTAATTTTCAGCGAATTACATTCACCCTTAATCTCGGTTGTCTGCTGCCACCCAGGAACATTTAATGAACTAGTGATATCGCAAGCTTTCGTCTAACTTGGGGTTTGACTTCAAACTTCGATGTTCAGCTGGTTCAGCTTAACTCTAACTTTTATTCGAAATTCAACAAAGTTTGACTGTCGTAGAATACCGCATACCCGCCCATGCCACATTAAGTGCCCATTCCCAAATTTGTAAGATCTGAGGAAATACGCACAGTACATTTATATGTAAAATTAATGACCGGACAAGTGCCCATCCCCCATTCTGTCAGGATTATTTCTAAATTTTGAGTGGGCGCTTGCCCGGTATTTTACGGTAATAGATAGTGTTGCCCGACTTCTACACAAAAATCTTGAATTTTAGAAAACAATAATTTATACAATAGTATTTTAGAACATGGTTGCCAATAATTACGCTTTATAATTAAGACCAAATATATACCATAATATCCCGAGTCATCGCCCACTCCTCTGCTGCCTAAAATTTGTAACAAAATGTGGGGTGGGCCACATCTCAATGGCTAAGCACAAAAAGTTTAGAAAAAGTTTAAAAAACGCCAATTTTTCTGTATGTATCTAGCGCGACTAATTAGTTTCATTGTTTTATGCAAGAAATGCTCATGAAAGAACGTTTTACTATCGCCAAGTCTGTTGCACACCCGCTATGAACACCGCCGATCGGCATACAGTGCAAACGTTTGTTCCGTGAAAGCATGTTTCTAACACCGCTATGTTCTCTTCGTTACTAAAGAAAAAAAAAAAGAAAAATTCAATCAGGTGCAACCAGCGAGAGAGCGAGCAGACGAAAGAAGCGCCTTGTCTATTGCAAGGAGCAGGTTCTTGTGCAACTTTCTTGTTTGGTGCATAGATGCGTGCGTTCGTGCATGGCGTGCAATCACCGTGGGTCGAGGTTGGGTTGAGGTGGCGTTGCTGCCGTGGCCGTTTGCTTTCTCTTAAACATTGCACAACCTTACCAACCGTGGTTGCGGCGTTTTGGGAGAAGCGTGTTCGCGGTGACCTTACTTCGGTGGAGGTGGACCTTGACCTTACTCAGCAGTTAGTACATTCCAGGATATGGGGTGTTCGCTGACCTCGCGATCCCCGAATGGGTTACTGCTTGTGTTATCTTTCTGACTGTATTTTTTTGTCCGAGCAAGCTTTTTTGTAAGAAAAGCGAAGTTTCATATTGTTATCTCCATCGTTCTCCTTTTGTCCAAACAAGCTTTTTTGTAATCAAAACAAAGTTTCATTTTGTTATCTTCCTCACTTTCCTTTTGCACGCATGTACTCCGAATTCGGGGTTGCGGAAATCGGGGAGGAAATGCGTAAACAAAGAGGAGTGTCTTTCCCTCCTTCGTTTCACTTTGTCACGGACGTCCCCCAGCTGTAAGGTCCGCGGCCGCATCATTCGGGTAGGATGAATATTCGCGGATTGCGGAGTCCGTGTAGGGGTATTTGTAGAAGTGGGCGATCACTCTGTGTATTTTTTTTAATCGATATTCGCCCACAAAGTGGGGTGGGCGATGACTCAGGATATTACGGTATACTTTTGATGCCTTAGTCAGTTTTATAATGGGAAACAGTGAAACAATATACTCAGTAAATATTGCACCCCTACTCCACTTCAGCTCATTTTCAATTTCTTAGTGCACGAGGAGGTTAAAAATGCATAGGTAACCTACATGTGTTTCCGCCTCCCCACACAACACTTACACACTCGCGGTGGATTTGCCCAAGAGGCATCTGCCATTAAATTGCAGATGCTTTCCCTGGTTTGAGTTGTTCCCTCTCTTGAATCTAGGCTCCCTACAATTTCCTCGTGTGTTCATAACCGCGTGCCCAAACCAACCTGAGCAGCGGTGGTAGAGAAGAGAACATAGAGAAGTGTGAGCACTGTTGTGCATTAATACACCCACGTTTGCTTGGAAGTGTGCAAAACGTCCGCTGACATGACAAGCGCCAACCACAACATACTTTTTCTCCTTAATGAACATCTCACCGAGGAGTGTCACAGTGCGCCCGGTCTCTCCCTTCTCACTTCTCCTGGCCAGGCAGTGATATGTGCTGCTTGTGAGGGATGACACCTTGAGCAGCTCCTTTTGCTCATTTTTGATAATTATATCTTAGGCTTTTGCATAAGTGCAGTGGTTCCTCGAGTACTTCCATTGCTCGTCATTCTTGTTTATTTATTTTCGACAAGTTTGTTTTGTAGAAATACTGTTGGAGGTTTCATTGTAACAGTGTGTTGCCGCGGAAAATGGATGATATAGACCCAATGTCCATACGCTTATCCTCAAATTTATTGATTTTTTGGGAGCCGTTTGTTGTAATCAATAGTTCATTAGAGGCGGGTTTTTTTGTAAGCAGGTTTGTTATAGGCAGGCGCGTCATAGGTGGAGTCGTCATAGGTGGGATCGTCACAGGTATGATTGTCACAGGTATGCTTGTTATGGGTATGCTTGTTATGGGTAAGTTATTTATAGATGGCTTTCTTAAAGGCAGGTTTTTTATAGGTGGTTTTGTTCTAACCAGGTTTATTATAGGTGGATTTCTTACAATTAGGTTTGTTATGGGTGGGTTTGTTGTAGGCGAATTTCCTATAGACAGGTTCTTTTATAGATGGGTTTGTTATAGGCAGGTTTGTTATAGGAGGGTTTGACCATGCATGGGAGTGTATTTGGTGTGCAGGGGGAGGCTCTGCTCTGTTGCCACTGCCTCTGGAGCCCCTGACCCTGAAAGAAAAGGTGGCCACTATACAGCTCCTGTCCCAGGGGGGTGCCAAGGTCCAGGAGATTAACTCCGTGCGCAAGCGCCTCTCCGTAGTCAAGGGAGGAAACCTGCTGCGGCACACTCGGGCAAGGGTGCGCTCGTGTTTAGCAGATATGGTTTTGATTTCAGTTTGACTTTTAGTGTCTAACACTCAAGGGAAGAGTAAGTTTCACAATTTGGAACTCTCCCTGAAGTGAAGTGTGCAATTCAGAATTTGAACTCTCACTGAAATGAAGTGAAAGATTCAGGGTTTGAAACTTTCACTGAACTGGGAGTACTTACACTAAAAATGAAGTGTAAGTTGCAATGTTTGAAACTTCCACTGAAGTGAAGCTCAAGTTTCAGGTCTTGAGGCTTGCACTTAAAGGGGCCCTGCAATCATATTTAAGCGTCTACCTTTTTTGCGGTTTTAACGTCTCTTGAAGTTCGGGCAAGCCAGCGGGTACGGAGAGAGTAACTAAATATCAGTGCGTCATATTTTAACCAAACGACGCGGTAACCTCCTCCACCGACGAGGGCGACCCGCGGTACCGAAAGCGCGCAAAATGTGACGTCTTTGGTCCTGGGCTTACTACTGGTGAGAGCCGCTAAAAGCTTCTTTTTAGACGAAATACACAACATGAGTGGCGCGAACCGTTTCAGTTATTTATAAAATTAGTTTTTGTTCAGTAGTTTAGATCAGAAAAGAAACGAACGCAGTTCATAAAGTACGGAAACAAGAAATGACCCGTCGACATACCCGCCACCAAGCGGTGGAGAAGGCGGCACATACTAGAAAGGAGTAGTGGGATCAGGTGCCGACACAGAAAGGTCCCGGATGTGCGCGGCGGCACGGCGGTCATATCGGAAGAAGGATCCGACCGGCTCCGAGCGTTCCGAAGGCCTTCGATACCTTCGGCGAGAAGCTTTGTCTTGCGGTTTGGCTGTTTCGCGGTATGGCAGCGCGAAGTGGCTCCCATTCTGAACTGATCTCTACCCCGTGTTTGCTGTCGTTTGTGGCCAATGAAGTGTCATGCCGAATTAGTGTTTAATCTAGCAGCGAATGCAATGAGAGCCGCTCTGGCTGCCCGCTGCATACAGCCTATCCAGAACATGCTTTAGTGGCGCCCTCTCGCGCCGTCGACACGGAGTGCGGCAGCCGTGAGCGCTCGCAAAGCTCACTACCCCTCCTCTAGTTAACGGCCACTCAAGCAACCAAGGACGTGATAAGGGAGGTTATTTTTTGCTTGTTTTTGTAATTTTAATTTGCCTATAACTTTTAAAATAAAGCGAATTTCGAGAAAAGAAAAGTTTCACTAAGTTACTACGTTCAGTGCGCTCAGGTTTGGTCCAAATTAAAAACCAGTAAAAAAGTCATTGCAGTGCCCCTTTAAGTGAAGTGTGATATTTTGGGTTACAAAGAAAGCAACGTTAAACCAATAAATATGTTGAGCATTTGCAAGGCAGATTGTATTGCTCATTGACAGGGTTTGCATGGGTCCTTGAAAACCTTGAAAACCCTTGAATTTGAAAACAACATTTTCCAGACCTTGATAGCCCTGGAATATCTAGCGGTGCTTGAAAAACCCCGAATTTCTCAATAATAGCCAGGCTTTCAGGTTTCCTTTTCAGTAAGGAATGCTTTTTCTTTACAATACTAAAATATAATTATATCTTTTTAAGTGTGTGTTAACATAAATTTAAAAATTTCATTAAGGAAGTTTTTTTATATGGCACATGTACCGTAGAATACCGCACATCTGCCCATAGCACACTAAGCACCCATATCCAAATATACAAGATCTGAGAAGATATGCACAGTATACATCGATATGTAAAATTGATGACCGGACAAGCGCCCATCCCTCATTCTTTCGCGATTATCTTTAAATTTTGAGTGGGCGCTTGCCCGGTATTTTACGGTAGACACATTTAGCGGATGTCTGTTAAGTGCCTGGCCACTATGGTAGTGGACAGGTGGTTCCGGATATGGTGCCTGGAGCGCATCTTCGACTGGTGTGTTTAGCGTCCTATCCCGCCCATACATCAAAAGTGGTCTTAAAGTGGCAACAAGTGACGTCACAGAAGCCGGAGTGTCATGCTGTTGCATGTCGTGATCCTGGTGGCTGGTCGTAGAAATGCTAACGAGAAGGCTGCGAGTAGCACAACCGAACACTAATGTCACTGTCGTCATGGCGTCCCAACTTCTGGCTGCTGAAACTTCTGTGGACCGCCACACTTGAGAGCGACTTGGAGCAGATCAGGCATCTGCTACAGACACCACCGCTGTTGGGACACCGCCAGGATCGCGACTGGTGACAGCTTGACACTTGTATGACGTCATTAGGCAGAAATTGAGGGACCACTTTTTTGGGCACGCTAAACACACCAGCCAAAGACGCGTTCCAGGCACCATTCGCAACTCCAGCGCGCCGCTCGCCCTCCCGCGGACGAACGGAGAACCAGAGGAGCGGGGACGGCGGCGGTGGCGGCGGCGGCGCGGAAACGGTGGCAGGGACTGTCGGCCTTGATGCGTGAAGCCGTTTTAACGAAAAAAGTGAACGCGTTAAAAAAGGAATTCTTGTGCTCCGCCTTGCAACAACCTTGCACGAAGGACCGGGATGTCTAATTTTATTAGGGACTTTTCGTGTATCGCATACGCTTCGGATTTCTGGTCTTGTGCATGGCCGCCAGCTCAATCTGTACTCAACGTGACGAAAAACGCTCCCACTAATAATGAAGAACTCTATAGTACGGTCTACGGAAAGTCTATTCTTTGCCATAAGTAGGAGAAAACTCGTCGTGCAACGGTATGTCGAGCAATACAAAGCAGGAATGGGTTCGCGTTTTAAGGCCGTTACAAGGAACATGACCATTTATTCCAAGCGCTTAAAAAAGACAGAATACCCGTACTTGCTTTCAGGTGATTACAAAGCAAATAAAGAAAGGCTAGAAGCATTTTCAGTGGTTCTGTGTTAGGCAGCCGTTTGTGACGAGAGCTTAGAACGCGCAGTTTTAGCCAGAGGGACCGCAATGTTGCAAATAACGCGGTGCAAAAAAATGTACGGTATATTAAACTATTTACTTTTGATAAATCGATAAATAAAACCCCTAAACACGCCGGTTATGTTAATAGGCAGTTTTTGGAGAGCGTACGACACCCCTAAACTTCGTTTGGACGTACAGTGCACTGACGTTCAACCAGTGCTACCAACTTTCACGAGCGACTTGTTAGCCGAGTTGTGCAACTTTTTAAAATAACCCAAGTAAGTGTGAATGACTGTAAAGAAATAATAATAATCGGGGTTTTCTTGGCCCTACTGCAAAACCACGTGTTTTTTTTTTTTCGGTACTCTTTGATGCATACTTTTGCTGTTTAATATCTTATAATGCACCGTTATCAAGCCTCTCGTAAAAGTTGGGGCCGTCAGTTTGACGTCGATGGGCTGCATGGCGAACTGAAGTTTTGGAGTGTCGTATACGCTCCGTGCGGGAACTATAGGGGGCGCTTTGAAAAACGCGTATAGCGCCGCTAGCGGAGGAGCTGGCGTTCGACAGTGAGGCGTGTTCAGCGGCCCGCGGCGCCTTTTCGCATGCGAAGCTGTGGCGGCGGAAGCGCACGCGGACGAAACTTTTGCTTTTTGAGCCGATAAGTTGTGGGTGACGTTGCATGAGTGCTGAGGCAGAAGGGCATTTAGCTATTCTCCACTTCTTACATATTGAGTTTGAGTCGTTATTAGGGGTAATTTCTCTAGTTGCGGCTGAAAAAGGGGTTGGAGCAATTTTCCGAAAAGCAAGACGGCCGCCACCATCATTGCTCTGAGTGGGAAATTTGTTTCGCTCGTCGCTGTAAATGGGACTGCTGGAACAATAATATTTGGAGGCGAGTGAGATGTTCACTAAGTTTGTGCACAAAGTGTGCCAACTTTCATTAAGACTGCAGGCGTGAAAGTTGTGTTTCTAACGAGTAAAGAAATAATTCTGTACGGGATATCCAATACTGGACCCAAAATGTTGTGTTATAACCGGGCTGTGCGAAGTGCAGATTTGGGCACACAGGTGCTTGAACTTGACTGTAACATGATACAGCACTTATTATAGCAAAAAGAGCTGGCAGAGGGAAACCAGGTGGAAATTTGGTTTGGGCGGCGTAACTCAATGGGAACCGGTTTTGACCATGAAAGGGCTGTCAAGAGAATACCACTCGTTGTGGCAGGTGGAGACTTTACAGGCAGGAAGGGACTAGTAGACTGTACTCCCAACTGAAACAACTTGATGAAAGGTGGTCTTAAAGCCGAGAAAACAAGGTTGTCCGCCAACACACGGTTTGGACATAAATGGCTTTTGCGGTCAGCTGTTCTGCAATAACCTGTTGCGCGATGTGCTTGCTGATTTTCGGCACACAGGTACTTTGACATGACCGTACCTTGACAGAACACTTATTATACCAAAAAGAGGTGTCATAGCAAAACCAAGTGGAAATTTAGTTTGGGCGGCCTAACTAAATGGGAACCAGTTTTGACCGTCAAAGGCTGTCAAGATAATACCACTCATCGTGAGAGGTGCACACTTTACAGGTAGAAAGGACCAGTGGACGGTACTTTTGGTTGGAACAACTTTGTTCTAAAATCGAGAAAAAAAATTGTTGTCTACTGAACCCGGAGTGTCAGTGTTTCCACACCCAAAATGAGGATGATCAAAAAGAAAGCACACCACACAAACTTCCATACTCAATCGTCGATTCTCCAGTGATTCCGAGTTTCATTGTAGTTTTCCTTAGATTCATATTTGTTACTTTTTTTTACCGTTCGAATCTTTCTACATGAAGTACAGATTGCGTGCCATACTTGTCCGGAAATATCATCGTCACGTACGATTGGGACGAAACTTCTTTGGAGGGCATTCCTCCAACGAAATTTGCACTGCATACCCGCGAGTGTGGGATGGCATTTCAGTTCGTCCCATCGGCGCTAACGCATGTAGGCGTCACTGGTACGGAAACAAACGCAGAGCGCAAAATGGCAGATTAGAATATGTCAGCCGTGCCGACACAGTGGCAGAAATGATCGGGAGACTAAATTTCTCGCGTAGTACGGCACGTGTCCATCGTTGTCACTGTCCCAGAAAACATCGGCGAGGTGAGAAACCGTGAAACTTTGTCCCCACGAGATACGACGCATAACTATTGAAGTACTTAATGACGCAGCACCGGCAGCACTTCATGCTGTAAACCCAGCGCAACCGCACCGCTCCGACTTCAATGCGTACCAGCGTACAACGTGGCGTGGTTTCGGTTTCGTTTTCTCTGGGGTTCTCACTGCCTACCTTCGGTAACGGCCGCGCGGCGGCGCGCCAGTCGCGTCGCACGGAGTGTATATGTGCCAAGGGGTGTAAGGACTACTACATTTTTTTTTTTTTTTTTAGAATGATGAGCACGGCAACGCTCCTGGCGCGCACTGAAAATTGTACTTCAAAGGCACAGCGCGAGCCTGCGGTTATAATGCTACACCGCACGGTAGCCTGCGATAAAAAACTTTCTATCAATAACTATAGAGCAGTTTGATTACGTGTTGCAATACACTAACACCGAGACGGCGAGCAGCGAGTTGTGAGCCTGTGACGCGAAGACACCAATACTGTGAACGCTGCTCTTCCGAAGCTTGACGGTCAGCGTTCTCGGCTCTTTTTTTAGAGAACTAATGGCCAGGCAAAGCCGCAAACATATCTTCATCGCCCTCAAAAATGTTCTGCCACAAACAGTAACCTGGCCGGTGCCTAAAACGCGCTCGCTCACCCCAAATCTTCGCAATTTGAGGTTTCTGCAACTTTTAAATAACAGCATGCTCGTTTTCCTAACGTGCATCAGCATCTACGTCACCTGTAATATGATCCCTTCATAACCGCTTCGCATTTGTAGACCAATAAATAATTTTTAGCGTGCTGAACAGCGTCAGCACGAGCAGGCGCGCGGGATATCCTGGAGAATCTATCCCCGTCTCTTCCGCCATCTTGGAACTACCGCCCCGCCACCTATAGGGCGTTGGAGTTGCGAATAGTTACGGACTCGGTCTTGCCCGTCTGTGGTCTCGCGATCTTGCCCCTCGTTTGCCTTGTTTTCTCGCATGCTGTTTGCTAGCTACTCCTGGTTTGTTCCGCATCTGTTTTACTCCACATGTGGTGAACATGGTTTAAATTGTGCGCGATGCCCGAGAAGTGCAACTTTCAGCAGTCGTGGCTGGGTCACGACGATTACAGATGCCGAGAAAGCTGAGGCAACAAATGACATCACTTACATTTTTGACGTTTTTCTTAGGCTGTTTGACTTGACATTGTCAAGTTGAACAGCCTAAGGAAAACCTAAAAAATCGAGGAAAAACCAAAAAATCGAGGAAAATCTGCAGTAGTTCTACTGAACCCTTTATTATCACCTTTTTGGCAAATGCACCTTTTCCTAGGTATCGTGCAATAAAGAATTTCCGCAGTGCATTTCAAAAAGTTGTTATATGATAAATTTACTAGATAGAGTATTTTAAGGGGTCCTTGAAATTATCTTTACAGGCACTTGGAGGTCCTTGAAAACCCTTGAAGTTTTTTGTTTGAAGCCTGTACAAACCCTGATTGAGTATACTTCTCTAATGATCCCCTATGCTTGGAGAATGCAGCAGTTTTTATGTTAATTGCCCAAACGTTCAACACGTTTACTGAATTTTCAGAAACAGCAGAATATTTCAGCGTTTAAAAGGCGATTCTCCAGTCGGATACGAAAATATATTCTATTCCTGCCGTAAAATACTGCAGAAGCGCCCACTTCGTTTAAGCGCCCACTATTAACATTTTCCAAACTTGGGAACTCTGCAAAATATACGTTGAGCACCCGATTTGACCAGAAAAGTGCACATGTCCAGATGAACCCAGTTTTCAATGAAAGTGGGCTGGGCACTCCCCCGGCATTTTAGAATACCTAAAATGTTGAATCTATGAACTTTAAAAATATTTTTACCAGAATAGAATGTGAAATCTGTCACCCACAGAGGTGGCGACTTGTCGTCTTCCATGCTGTCTCGACTCAGTGTCAATTGTTTTGTGCTACGCTGTTAAGGTTATTGTAGTTTATGAAGCGTTCCACTGCTTTTAAAGCTACTTGTGCGAGCGTGTGGCTCCATTCAGCATTGTCTTTGTACGAGAGCTCATGGAAATGAGACTTGAGGCAAAGCCACACACTCTCGTAGCAGTGTGGAATATCACCACTGTGCCAGTCTTGACAGTGTAGCACAACAAGGCTGATGCCAAGTGTAACAGTGTTATTTTGTTGTTGTTTCGGTTGCAATCTGTATTCCATTCAGCTGGTATTCCTAATAGTTAAATTCAGCATGACAACGAGGCTTTGTCAGCTTTCCTAATAACACCTGTTACTCTTTGCTGTCCGACCGATTGCTAGCAAGGTGAACATTTCCCACGAAACATGAGGGCCATAGCAGAGAACGGTGAATATGTTTATGCATAAGTAGTATTCAGCATGACTAGATTCAGTAGTATTCAGCGAGAGGTCCTTTGTCAGGTGTTCTTGCATTGCCTGTTGCCCCTTGCTGCCTGACAATTGCCTAATGAAGTGGTGAGTCCCACAAAATGTGAGCCACGGCAGAGAGCACTGAAGAATGCTAGTGCATAAGTATTCAGCACAGCAACGGGGCTTTCTCGGGTGTCCTCTCAACACTTCTTGCTCTTTGCTGCCAGACCAGCGAATATTTTCCGCAGGACGTGAGAGCCACAGTAGAAAACGCCGAAGGATGCCACTGCAGGTGGTGTCCCTGATCCTGTCTGACGTGGTGGACGACCCCTTGGAAGCAATAGCAAGTGGCCCCACAGTGCCCAACCTGGAGGACGAGGGGCTGGCACTGCGCATCATTGACAAGTATGGGCTGCGCACCAAGGTGGCGCCCAATGTGGTGATGCTGCTGGAGCGCCACCTGCACCAGGACATGAATCAGCCACAGACCGCCAAGGCATTCAACCTCCTCATCGGCAACAATAAGGTAGGCAGGCTAGGACGTATACTGACACCAGTGATGAGCGAAGAGACTTTAGATAACTCGAGAAAACTGAATGTTTAATATGGCAAACTTGTTCCACAACAAAAATATCGAAACTGGCGTTGCAGGCATCGACGTCAGTAAGACAGTCGCATTGAGCACTAGCGTAGAACTGACTCGATGCAGCGTGCTACTGCTGCTTTTATGCATGCTCTCGGCTCGGGAAGGTTCCAATCTAGAAGATGTAATACTAACTGATGAAAATGTATTGGAACTGCCCATTGAAGCAACAAATGGAAAAGTAAAAACAAAACTATAGGGGTTGCTCACTGGATGCCCTAGCATTTGAGTGCGCTGTTCACTGTGCATGCTCACATATAGAGGCTGTTGAGGCCAGCATTTGCAACGGTGTGGTGGAATGCATGTTGCAAAGGAAGTGTGGAAGCTCACTGTCAGCAGCTGCTCAGCAGTGGCGGACCCTGCTATGGACACCAGTGAACACTCCCTATCGACATTTGAACCCTGTCTATTCGCGTGAGTGCCAGGTACGCAGACAACTCAGCCGTAGACGCGGCAATACGGAGACTTTCTGTTTTGTAGTTTCCACCCTTTCAAAGGGAAATGACCTGCACATATAAATGTAAATTTCATGTGTGGAAACCTCTCGACTTGAATCTCGGTCGTTCAAGCCAGGGGCATAATGATGGGAACTTAGCTCAGTAAATCGTGCTTGCTGACGACGCTGGTACCGAGAGGAAGATCGAGGAAGGGAGCGACAGAAGTACAGAAAAAGAAAGGAGACAATACGTTATGTGCGTCAGCTCTGCTGCGACACGTTGAAGATGTTTGAGTGCTTGTCAAGTTTAGTATTTTTGTTTTATACAATTCTGTGACACCAGTGTTTTCTTGCGAAATAGATTTAGGACACACTAAGCACCGACCTTTCAAGTAGTAAATTGCTGCTTCTTGGTATTTATTAGAGCCTTACCCGCAATCTCGGCTTCTGGTAGTACATTCATCGTCTTTTAGCTTCCGTTGTTTCAAGGCCGTCAAAATGCATCGAAGGGTGGTAGACCTTTTACTCTGAATTTTTTTAAATGAACTCTACAGTCCAAGCTGAAGCTGTGGTGTCAAGGTGAACAAAGTACCAGTAGGCACATAGAATATGCATTTTTTTACCCGGGGAGCGGCGACTAAAGAGTGCATGGCTTAGCTGAGTGTAGCTCGCCGAAACTATTGACTAGCTATGTCTTAACTCTTGGCCAGTGGTGCACTGTCGGAGATTTATATTATTGTTGTTGGAGGTGGAAATCTCTCCCAAAATAATTGAGGTAGGCCATAAAGGTGCAAAAGAAATCAGTGTCACTTTGAAATGGGGCTTAGTAGGTTTGAGGGACACATTTCTCTAACCCAGTGGCACTCAAATCGGAATCCGCGAAGGCATTCTAGAGGTCCGCGAAGCCCTGCCCCTTCAGTCAAGCCCGGCAATAAAAGTTGTCTTTTATTAGATTGAGAAGAAACATTCCAATTTTCGGGTGAGTTTTCTCATGTTTATGTGTATGAGAAAAATCTACATCACACCAGCCCTTAGTTATATCTACTTATTAAACCATTATCATAATTAACCTATACCTTTCCCTTCCCCTTACCACGAACAAGGTCCTCCATCATCTCTGCCGATCCACAAGGGGTCTGCAAAACATAAAAAAAAATAGTCAGAGTGCAGGTGAGCTGGGGTAAGTTGAACATGATTGTTCTCTTCTCTAAGTTGAACATGATTGTTCTCTTTCTGCCCCAGTCTCAGGTTTACAATCATGTGCAAAACATCACTGGTTGAGAACCACTGCTCTAACTGATTACTCATCACAAGAGATGGCTGCAGTTTAAATTGAATTAGTTATTTTGATTTATTTATTTGAATGGTACTGCAGCTCACATCTGAGCCATAGCGCAAGCCATTGTACTCGGGAGAATCTATTTATGGCAGCACTGATCGCATCAGTAAAGTTGTTGGAAAGCAAAAGAATTACAATACCATCTGTTTTTTTAGTTACCCTCAAGGTGCCTTACATTACAGAGGGAATTGAGCACACAAAGAAAGGGTGGAAAATAAATCAACTATGGGTGCTTTTACTAATTGCAACAACTGAAGCGGGTCACATGATGTTCAAGGTATAAATGAGATGTTGAATGTGTGGGTGTTAACGCTTGGTATGCCAACGTTATTAATGTAATTGAGATGAGAAAATATTGTAAGGATGGAGGCAAGCTGGTGAATATTAACCATGTTGAATTAACCTGAGACTGGGGTTGAGAGGAGACATTGAAATATAGAAGAGTAAGAAAATAGACAGGACGACGAGCTGGGTTACAAGATGGTTCAAGGACGAGTGTCTGGCGGTAGAATGGGTTCTGATGATAAGGCTAGTGGAGCAGACAGACGAGCATTTTTATGGCGGGAAGGCAAATTGTGTACTGCTAAGAAGAGTGGTTGTTTGGGCGAGTTGGTTTGACATCTTATACAATCTTGTGCGCAACAAAGATGAGGACAAAAGCAGAGAAGAGGACCGAGCGCCTTGTTGTGTCCTCTTCTCTGCTTTTGTCCTCGTCTTTGTTGCGCACAAGATTGTATAAGATGTACTGCTAAGGTTGCTTTATGTTAGTTACACTGGCTGTGCAATGATAATTAGTCAGGGTAACTTGAGCTGCTCGGTTTTGGATGACTCAAATGTAGTGTTTAGATTTTGATCTGGGATCTCATGCTGATGACTAGAGCCCTGCGTGGATAACAGTGGGCATCTGCAACTGATTCGTATCCACGGATTGCTTATCCGCATCTCAACTGCATATGCAACATTCTTAAATTTTTGCATCCACATCCGATTCGTATCCGACTTTGCATCCGAACCGCATCTGCAATTTTTGGAATTGAATCCGACTTGCAATCCGAGAATTTATTTTACATACTAAAATCAAGACAAAAAAAAAAAAAAAGAATCTGGATGTTACTTTAATAAGCTGTTTGCTTATTTTTTTGTAAAAAAGCAAACAGGATACAGTGAAAGTAATTTTATTGTATAGTGTTTTGTCGTATATCCCGAAGATATATTTTTATTTTTTTTCACTTTGTATCACCCACCTTAAAGGGCAACTCCGCTTAATTTCAAAAATTTTGAGATAGTGGCCGATTTTGCTTTTTGAAGCACTCAAAAACAATCCCCAATCCTTTGTTTTGCGAGAAATAAAATATTTTTCGTGTAATTTTACTCTAGCCATGATCACAAACCGAAACCGAAACGGTGGCAAAGCCGGACAACATTGTATATTCGGCATCACTAAGCATGTACACCCACGTGATATACAAGGGGAAGAAGGAGCTCCCCTCTTATCAGGATCCTCCTTTGTGCCTCCTGGATTAGCACAGGCGTCGCTATTCTCCTCCCAGAAGATTATAGAAGATTAACCTGTCACTCAAAATTCTTACAAAAGCAGCTTCCCTCTCCTCCTTTTACTTGGTGTTCAAAAGTATGCGCACTGAACACACAAGCTGCGCTCAACGAGGCGATGGGCCTATCAGTAGTATCAATAGTCGAGCGCCGGGCCGGCCGAGCGCGTCACTCACGTCTCTCATGGCGCTGGCGCCACCCATGCTCTCCCCGAGAAAGACGACAAAATTGAAAAAAAAAAAAAAAAAAGAAGCTGTACATGCTTGATGACGTCACGGACGTACCGGGAGAAGGAATTTGGAGGAAGCGGAAATGCAGCCGGGCAGTGTTGTCTGGCCCGCACGTCCCATCCAAAACCAGCGGGTAGTTGCTTGTCAAACTTTGACAGCGATTTTAATGAACTTCTAGGCGGAATTCCGTCGTAATATTTGCCATGGGGGTTTTGTAGATGATAACAAAGAGAACTGTATAGTTTAGCACTACTGGAAAAGAAGCGGAGTTGCGCTTTAAGGGGAGACATTGCTCTTTGAGGCAAAAATATGCCAAGAAAACACATTATTGAAATTGTGTTTTTTGAAGATTGGCAGGCACTTATCAACTTGTCCTGAAGGATTTTCTTTAAATAAATTTCTCTCATCTTGAAATATTGTCTTGGAAGCAAAGTAAGATGAGCCTGTGGAGTTTTTTAAAAATTATTTCTCAGTGAACTATTTACACTCTTTACTATTTTATGGAAGCCATATCTCCACTTGCACATGTCTAATCTTCATATTTTTTTCTTTATCTGGTAGTTTTATGTGTGACATGTGCAATAAGCGGTACAAACTTATTAAATAGGGTATCAGGCTTTTTTTAGGTGCCTTTTCGGCACCCTGCAATAAATCATTTTGAAAAAAGTTCAAAAGTGTCATAAAAAGTTTATAAAGCATCCTAGAGTTTTCATTTATGCCTTATTGGATTCCACATACCTTTTAGTTCACTGATATATGTTTATTTTTTATTTCGGTATTTCAATTTGTCTCAATCCTTCCCATAATAAACATCAGAACCAAGTACATATTTGTAGTCAGATTGTAATGGGAATTAAGCTATGTGAATTTCATTTAAATTGAATCACAAGTTATATAAAAAAACTCTAGAAGCAGTGTTGCCCCTTAAAGGAGCCCTGCAAGCACTTTTTTACTGAATTTTAATTTACACCAAACCTGAGCGCACTGACCGTAGTAACTTAATGCAACTTTTCTTTTCTCGAATTTCGCTTGATTTTAAAAGTTATAGGCAAATTAGAATTACAAAAACAAGCAAAAAATAACCTCCCTCATGACGTCCTTGGTTGCTTGAGTGGCCGTGAACTAGAGGAGGGGTAGTGAGCTCAGCGAGCGCTCACGGCTGCCGCACTGCGTGTCGACGGCGCGAGAGGGCGCCACTAAAGCGTGTTCTGGATAGGCTGTATACAGTGGGCAGCTAGGGCGGCTCTCATTGCATTTGCTGCGCGATTAAACACTAATTCGGCATGACACTTCATTGGCCACAAACGACAGCAAACACGGGGTAAAG